TATATATATATATATATATATATATATATATATATATATATATAATGAGTAATAAAGTATGCTATTTATCAACATTTTACATATTTTCAAACCCCCGCTCCACAACTTTTTTTCTGCTATTTCCAACATATTGATCGATCAATTTATTTGATAAGGATTTTAAAAAATTGACTTTAGATTGACTCTCATTTTTATGACTTTGTCTCCTGCAATTTCAAAAAATAATATTTAACAATTTGGTAACATAAAATCAACAAAAGTTATTTTTTTTTTTTTTTTGTATACTAAGTAAATAGTATAAAAAATGAAGGAAAGTGAATTTAAATAAACTATACCACTAATTAAAAATCCTTATTGTATCAATTGATTGGTTGATACATTTTAAATAGAAAATGTCTATGTTGTGTAATAGACAGAGGTAAAAAATCATGACCTACAATCATTTTACTAAAAAATTTAAAAACCTAATATTTTATGGATTTTAGGTTTCACCAAAAATTGAAACTGCACGGTTTGCCAGTTATCCAGATGTAACATTAAGCGCCAATGAATTACAAGAAAAAAAAAGATAACCGAGTTACTACTTATATTTATATATATAATAATTGGTAGCAGTCATGCACTAATAATAATAGCCTAAGCTCTAAAAAATGTTACATGACCAGACACCAGACAGTAATTAATACATTATAAATATACATATATTATATAGAATCTAAGCCAGCATGCCCTAAGGAAGTGAGAAAAGTATTACACATAAACTAAAAGGGCTCTATACATATTTTTAAGCAGTGCCTAAATTGTCTTTAAATTTGATAATAATATCAAAAGTTCAAAACATTCTGAATTATTAAATTACTTATAACTTTAGTGCAATATAGTTAAATTAATTTTGATTTGACAGTGATCATTTATTAGATTAATTTTAATAATTATTACATTTCGCTCTCTATTGACTAGTCGTTCATTATTATATTAAAAATGGTATTTATATTATATTATATTTACTGCCAGTACATAATATTTTTACTTAAATAATTTTTTCTCAGCAAGTTATTTGGAAAATATTCTTTCTAATCTTTGTATCTTTGGTATTTGTTTTTTTAAATTCGTCTTTGTATTCCTTACAAAATAATGAAGTTGTTAATATTATGTATAAATTATATTTTAATGTTATACAACCAACTTTGAAACGTATTAATTCATAAACTAAATTTATTATCATATTTTCCTTAAAATGTTCCAAAATATATTTATAACTATTTTTATTATTCTTTATTATATTTTTTTAGTCAATATCATTAACATTTGATTTCCATTATCTAGTTAAAAATTATTCTGTGATTATTTCAATGTGTATTTTTGTATGTGTATGCTTTTCATTTATTTGAAAATATATTGTTGAGTCAGTAAACAAATATTTTAAAATTCGTTAAGAATTTTGAAGTTAAACGAAGGTGTGGAAAATTATATGTGGGACTGTATCAAATCTTAGGCCACTAATGAGCTTACAGTAGAAACAAATATTCTTATTGACAGAAAACAATACAGTTTTCTTTTTAATTTACTATTACCAAACTATTGAAACTACTTATGATTTACTATTACCAAATTATTAAAACTACTTATGTATTATTTTTTTTTTTTTCTTAATCATTGTTAATATTATATTGTATTTTACTTAAGACATATTTACTTTTGATGCGATACATCACTGTTTAATGAAACCCATGAAACAAATCAATAACTAGAATAATACGGTATTATTTTTAAATCAACCACCCTTATGTACACTTTAAGTCTACTTAGCAGTATATAATAGTAATTATATTTTAGATAAATATGTGAACTAATAAGTATTTTTGCAAAACGTATTAAATTTTTTTTTTCAAATACTTATTACATTATTTGTTTTTTGTATGAACTCTTTGTATAAAGTATATTTTGGTATTAAAGTTTTTCATTTAAATAACATAAGGTAAACAAATCAGTCATGTTGCTTATTTTATGAAAAATGTTTCATGTGCCTTTAGTTATGAAGTTTCATTAGTGAATCATGTTTTAAAAATGTATGAATATTGATAATTAGATCATATTATGACAATGATATTTTTTTTTGGTTTTTGTCTTTATGTTTTTAAAAATGTAATCTATATTTCTATAATGTATATTTTTTGTTTTTTGTAATTTATATATTTTTAGTCATAAGTAAAATGGGTGGTTGATAATTTTTTGCAAATAATTTTATTGTATATTGTTAATGTATCTCTATTTTCTTGTGGCTATCTTCCACTCATAAAATAGTCCACAAATATACTATGTATTACATTATGTGATTAATGTATTAAACATTGTATTTTCTGATCAAAATAACCATAGTCTACTTACATTGAAATTTATATAAAATATTTTATGATAAATTTCAAACTAATTTTACTTGTATCATTATACTACTTAGTACTTTGTGACAAAAAAAAACAATAAGTTTACTTTATTGTGATTTTATAAACATTTATTTATCAATACATTGTATTTTTTTTTTCTTTCTGTCAACTTTTGTTTCTAATTCAACATTTTAGTCAATAGTTAAACTACTTTTCATTACTTATTTATTCATTTTTTAAATTATATTATTGTATTATTTAGATTTCAGTTATGTAACTTTTAAGTTTGCTTTAATTTAATGTTTCAAAAAATATATACAATAAAAAAAGCCAAATAGTATTTTATAAATATTTTTGTACGATTATAATAGTATTACCTTATACTATGCTATTATACTAATTGTATTATCAGTTATATATTTTTTTTTCATAAATAAAAAATTATGTTGGTTTATTATTTATCTTACAAGATCATGAAATAGCAAAGAAAATTAACTAATATATTATCAAAAAATACTGTTTTATTATTTTACTAACATCATTAGCATTAATATTTTTATTTTAATTATCTACCTTAAATTTTAATTAAATTTAAATTAGTGTATTAACCAATTTAAAATGGTTTGTTTACCAAAATAAATTTCCATTTTTTACCAGTATAATATTTCGGTTACTAATTTAACTTTTAAATTTTAGAAAAAAATTATGTCTTTTTTAAGTTTAAATATTTTATTTTATTTTTTACAAATATTTGTGACCATAGTAAAATATAAAAAAATATTATAAAACTGTATACATTTGCCTCACAATAATTCGTTTTTTACTAAATATTTGCAAATTGTTTACAAAAATAATTGTTTATTGACACTGAATTTTCTATATATAAAACAAGTGCAGTCATATCGCATGCTTCTGCAGCAATAGCTGGTCGCTACTCTCTTATTGGGTAAAGTATAATTTTAAAACTATAATATAAAAATAAATCTCTACACACTTTTAATGTTAATAATTGGGAGATCAAAATAATTAGGTGCTGGACGAAAACGATTTAGCTAATCCAATTAATTTAATTTCATAGGACCTCGCATAATTGTTTGACTATATGGAATAAATATCTAAGACCATTTGTCCTGGTTACTAATTGAAGTTTGAAATCATATTTGAACATAAAAAATACCTCTCATTATCAGAAATATTATACCGTTTGAATGAATTAACACACCTACCAATTATACAGAAAATGATGGCATTCTACTTGTGAACTGTAAAACTCTGATTATTTAATTAGATACCTACCTAACAATTTAATTTTGCCTAAAAACCATATTATGACATTAATATGAGGTGTGTATCATAATATAGAAACGTAGTCAAACTCTGTGTCTCAGTACTAATTTGGGGAAAAAACTATTATCAGATACTACTTAAAATGGCCCCCCTTGGTAAGTTTCTGAAGCCGTGCCTGATATAATATCGAGCAATCCGTTTCACCCGACGTACGTATCTACTCGTTTTTCGATCATTTATATGTTGTTTTTGAAAACTGTTTCCCGATCGAATTTTTGAGTGATAACGAGACGAGTTGCCGATTTCACGAGTCATTCCATTATCCCCCCGTCTATTCGTCTAAAGTTCTGAGCTTTAAAAAATGCTTATCAACTATAATTAACGATCTGATTTTCAAAGTATCGTATTTTTTGTACATTGAACAAAGTCAAACGGAGTAAAGAATTCAAAATTAAAACCCTTAATGTTACGATAAAAGGATCTTTTTTTTTTTTTTAACGTCACGAATTGAACGGATTTGTTCGACCCGTAATTCACAAGGGTTTCGTGCTAAAAGATTCATCCGGTACGGACAGAACGGGAAAGCACGATTGAGCATGACCTTTTTAGCAACACGATTGAGCATAAAATATTTTATACAATGTTGCCACATTCTCGTTGCCAACATTTTGTAATTTATTATTTTCACTTATTATTACACCAATCATTGATATCTGACGCGAACCGTGAGCCGAGCCCCTCAGCTTTATCGACATTATTATCGATTAATAAATTAGTTGCGGAGCAAAACGACTTTTTAAACATTTAGCATCAGGGGAAAATATAAGATAATTAAGATACAACTCCAAAATTATTATCGAAATAATATCAGTGTTCGATCACCTATAGTCGTGTAGGTATAGTGCGTTTCGTTTCGTTCAAACACATCTATCTACTATACAATGTGACTAGGTATATTACATATTAACTATGAAAACGTGATATTTGTTTGCTATGTTATATTTTGAATTATTATAATTATTTAAATAAATATTTTTGTATCTATAATACAGTTCAATATTGAAAATGGCAACGTTGCAGAGTTTTTTATGCTCAATCGTGTTGGTTTTCTTTTGTATTTCAATTTCCTTTGATACGCCGACAATTTATGCTCAATCGTGTCGCAAAAAAGGTGTTTTATGCTCAATCGTGTCTCAGTCGGACGGAAAACGGATTGTTTTCACGTTTTAAACTCGCACTGTAGTGACGTCCATGAATAATATTGTTTACCAGACCCGTTTGTATAAATAAAATAAATCGAAGCGCTTGCATAATATATTATTTATTATTATATATAATATTCTGATAATCGATTTTGCCGTAATAGTACTTACAAAATATCTCTTACCGTTGTTCGGCTGTACCGTTCGTTAACGACGACAACGACGCGCGAAGGAATTGAATAAAATCTGATCGTCGTCTCGCGTGTCGACGAAAACTAAAATAATATACGTAAGTTTCAATTTTTTTTTTTTTTTTTTTGCATTATGCGTCAATATCCGTGAGTTTTATTTCTCAAAAACGCTAAATTAGCACGCCGTGGTCAGAGCCGGCTTTCGATACGACCGACGCGTGCGACGGCTCAGAGCGCCAAAATCGGAAAGGTGCGCGAAAGGTGTCAAAATTACAATTAAACTCGATCAAACGTTGGCGACACAAATTACTGTATCTACTATAAGTATAGAAAAAAATAAAATAATTTCACAATATGATTTAATACAAATTTGATTATTATTATGATTAGTATTTTATTGTTTATTATTATATCGAGATGCGAGGAGAGGTCGTGCTCGTAAGTAGGTACAATTAGTTTTATAAACTATCAGTATATTATTTATTATATATATTAATATGAAACATTTCTAGTTTACGGGACACCCAAAAATTTGACAATTTTTAGGGGGGACTTAGTTATATTTTGGGTGAAAAAAATGATGGTGAAATTAGAATTTGGCGCAAGAATTTAATTTTAAAATTTTAGTTAATTAAAGTTAACTCTAAAACTCTTAAATACTCTTAGAAACGTATAAAAGTGTTGCGCAATAATAGCAGCATCGTTTACTTATCCACGTAGCCGAGTGCGATCCCCGCAAAGGTAATTAAAATTTTGCACTTTTTTTTTTGAACAATTATTTTGTATCTGGTTTTATCTCTTATCGTAAAAAAAATTGTTTGCATTTTTTTTTTTCGAAAATTCGGAACTTGAATTTTAAAAAATTTAAGACTTCGCTCGTTACGCCTACCGGCTCCACTCACAAATTCGAGTACCACTGCGTGGCACTTTTCGGGGGATAGGGCTTCGCCCCAAAGGTCTAAGCCTAGTTGTAAATGGGATTATGCTCTGTATGTGAATCTAAAACCACGCTACGCGAGTAAAACCTTGAATTGTCATTAAAATTGTTTGTACTTTTTTTGTATTTTTTTTTGCACATTGAATATCTAGTGCTATGGAACGAACTATAGGTACTGATATAACCTCATTATTAAACAATTGTTATACTGATTACAAAAAAAAAAATTGGAAAAAGTACAATAAATATTTTTCCCTCACTACGGTATTGAACTATAATCTCTTATATCTCTCACTTTAATTGTGGTTCCGCGTTACCCAATGCACAACATCACTAAAGTAAATAGAAAAATAGATTATTTAATCAAAACTATCAAACTTCAATAGGCTATTACTTCCAAAATAATTATCTGCGCCAATTTTCGTTTGCACTATCGTTTTCAGTGTTAAAAAATATATAAGTCGACATAAGAAAAAATCCAAAATTGTTGGTGTCCCGTAAAGTAGAAATATACCATTAATATATATATATATATTAGGATGCCCGTTATTTATATATGAACGATTTTTTTTCTTCAAAATTTGAGGAGTGCCGTCTGGGAATTTTTTTCTATGGGTCTAAAAATAAGATCTACAAAATTTGAGCTTTATATAATATGATTAACAGGGCGTGCTCTAAGCTCAAAGTTTAGAAAAAATGTAAAAAATGTCTAGTTTTTTAGATATTATCGCACAAGTTTTGGTTTTATCTAAAAAGTTATAAGAAACTTTTTTGTAGAATTTGTTATTTACTAAAATAAGTGGTTCTTATACATTTTTCATACAGTCAATATTTTTTTTGTAAAAACTAAAAAAACTATATGAAAGTAACATTTTGTGAAAAAACCCGTTTTTATGTTTTTTGTAATTATCTCTCTAAATATTAAAGTTATAAAAAAATCATAAATTATTAAAATCAATCCAATTTATTTTGACTAAAATATATTTAACTATACATTTTTGCGTTTAACAAACTAATTTTGATTTAATAGAGAATACATATAAAAATAATTAATTTTTCTCAAAAACATATTATCTTATTTTTAATACAGCTTTTTTTTTTTGTTTAACTAATTCAGATGTTTATTCTTATGTAACTTAACTTAATTTAATTGTTATCTTGTTTCCGTTGTATTATTTATTATTATTATACCATTATGTAATGTAATTTTTTATTATAATAATCAAAAGCCTTATAGCGTATATTCTTATAAAATAAAAATAAAATTATTAACATTATGTTTGTTGTCTGTATGATTTACAAATTTTTCGCACATTTAAAAAATTATTTTGAGCATTTTTGATTATGAATGGGGCTCAGCCCCTTCAGCTCCCCAGTTCTGCCTGTTTAAATTATAGGTTTAAGTCGTTTCTGGAGAAGGGGCACCAAAATAATTCTTGCGCTGGTTGCTGAAAGAGCTAGAGCCCTAAGGTTCTGGGCGTGGTTTCTAGGACAAATATCCAAAATAGAAAAAACCAACGGATAAAGTGTTCAAAGGTAAACATTTTCATTATCAAAGAATCCAATTTGGCACACCACGAATTTCTTTTCTCCTACTTTTACAGCGCGAGTTCCAAATTAAAAAAAAAAAAAAAATTCATGTATCTATAACGTAACAAAAAATAATCGTGCGATTGCAAATATGTCCTAAATATCGTGCAGTTACCGACAAGACCGATTTCTCAATAATATTTTTATAATATAAATTAAAAAAAAATTAATATTACTTAGATTAAAATATTTTGGAAATCACTGACTTTAATTTTAAAGTCTATTAATTACTATCGAAGTTTACGGAACATTTATTATAATTATACAAAAACAACAAAATAATTAATAACTTTTAATTTCGATTGATTAAATTTAAATGAACTAAAATGCATAGACAACTACTACTTATCTATGTGAGGAAAGATAATAAAAAGCATAAATTAATATAAGAATTATCACAGCCTATACGATAATAAACCTAATAAACATGAATATTCATACATTTTCCCAATAAGATTCAACAGAATAATAATTCAACATAAAATCAACAGTCCAACAATAATGATAATTTTAAAATTACCTACTAGTCTAGGCCCATAACTCCATCGATTACCGGAATGAATTCGATGAGCCATATTGATATTTATCTTAATCGAAAAAACCTAATCCAACATTAACATTTTGAATTTCTACTCAACAAAATTGCATCTCAACTTCAAAGATTCGAATGAAATGTAGGCAACCCATGAAAAAGTTGTAAGAAATCAAATGAATAGTAAAAAAAAATTAACAAATCATAATTTATAATACCTAGCTTATTATTTTTAATTTTATAAATTTAAATTATTTAAAATAATTATATGTAATATAATATAGATAATACATGTATACTTATATAATTATAAAATTAATAATAATTTAAATCATTTTGAATCGACCTTGAAGATGAAATGATTAGTATTAGGAATAGGTATTTAAATGGAATAGAACCAATTATTAGTTAAGAGTTTGGTTGTATTAATCGATTAAATATATATATATTTGAATATTTATTTAATTTATTAGTATTAATTGATTTCTATTCATACGAATCACATTTATGTTGCAATAAAAATGAAAAAATATATATTAATATGAATTATTAACAAAATATAATATAATTCTAGTTGTTTAAATTTTAGTAGATATTATTAACAATTTAAAACGAAAGAGACTCGCGTTTCTTAACTTTTTTTTACTCAACGCCCTTTCTAGATTTTCAAAAATCTTATATATCGTCTTCAATTAAATTAAAAAAATTATAGTTTATTTTTATGAGCAGACTTTTAATTTAATTTAAAAAAAACCAGAAAAAAATTGTACGCAGTTACAAACATACATTTTATTGCAATAAATTATAAACAATAAAAATTAAAGTCATTGTAGAATCGTCTCTTCTAAATCAAGAAAAAAAAACACTCACTAGAGGATAGTTAGAACTATGCACGTTGGGATTCACTGGGGTAGATCATGAGTTTACCTAAACATTTCAAATGAAAAAAATAAATCGCATAAAAAAAAAATTCTCTTAAATGTTTTGCACTTCAGAATCTGTTATTTTCGATTTTATTTCGCAACCGTTGGTCCCGTATAGAAAATATGTGAAAAATATAAAATTGTTTAGAAATCATAAACATAAATAAATGATTAATATTTGTAAAGACGCGGTATTCTTTAAATGGATTGAGATCGTAAAAAAGTTAACAATTTGATATCATACGATTTGTGTTTAAACGTTTAATTTTTTCCACCATTATCATCAAACAATCTTGTTGTACGTAGTCACAATCGATATGGTATACACGCCGTAGTGGTTTATTGTACTCGAAATATTGACACAATGAGTATATAATACGATAAGCAGTAGATCGATACGAAAAATTGCACACGGGCTTTCTACGTACGAGTAAAACAAAGTTCGAATATCTCATAGTATTGAGCATATTGTACATTACATAAATTATACACCGTCGATATTAAAAGCGGTCGGAGCCGAAGACCCTCCAGCGTCGAACACGGATTCTGCGCCGACATTACGTAACTCCGGCAGAGATTTAGTTTACCGAAATTATTTTCGTTTATCGCGCCGGATGATATTTAAATCGGTTGATAACAGAAACTCGCGCACGTTACCGTCGTGCCGAATTCATAGTGGCGTACGCAGGAATTCGATATGGGAGAGAGATGTCATAAATAAAAATGTATTATTTTCAATCTTTATTCTTTATTATTATACAAAAAAAAAAAAATGCAATAAAGGCGGAAATACATTTTTCTGGCTTTTACACTAAATTTTGTAAATAATGGAATGTCTCGATTTATGTTCATTAACGCCAATCCATTCCAAACCACCGTGACTGCCCCGTCGTATTTCTTGAATACATTTTTAAACGTTTAAGATTAAAAAAAAAAAAATCCCCCATTATCCCTGCGCATGCCACTGCGAATCCATAATTCAATACACGACCAATGTCGATTAAAAACAAAAACAATCGTATAACGTACATAACAGTGTCGCGTAACGTATTGTTATGCGTCACACGCGTGCACGATCATCCGATCAACAACGAATTGTTCGACTGAACAATTAACCGCATCACCAACAATGTGCGATGACGTTTTCCGCGCGATCAATGAGAGATTACCATTGTACGTTTGTTACGTAACTCGTCGATTTTCCGCGGCGCTGTTCGTACGGATCCCTCAACACACAAACGCACGTCGCGTCGCACACAACACGTTCGACGCGCCGACCCGGTCCGCACTGGATCCACGTGAGCGACGACACGAAAGCCGTTATTATTATTATTTTTTTTTTTGACAATATTTCGGACGTATGTTATTGTTGAAATTATTTCGATTGTCGGTTGAAACGATCGATTCGATTCTCACGTTCCCACAGGATAATCCGTGCGAAGCTGTGCACTTGTGACTTCGGACCAGCGAACGGGTGGGCGATCGTCGAGGGATCTTCGCGCTGATTCGCAGCCGTCGGATCTGCACCGCGGTCGCACGCGATCGGTTCGGCCCCGCTCCGAACGGCTGTCCCGTCGGCTACCGACACGTGTGCTGACCGCGCGGCACATGCATCGGAAACACGACATACAGTGAGTACGTCGATAGAGCCCAAGTATGGTTAGTAACTGTTTTTCGATATTCATCGCGACGATTTTCAACCAAAAGCGGTTTGTAAGCACTTACTACCGGGGCGGTGTCCCGGTAAAACATTTTTTATGTACATTTTGGTTAAATAAATTAAAATTTAGTTGGCATACCAGTATATTTTTAAACATATTTTTATACATAATTTACGTTTTAACTTTTAAGTAGTTTTAATGTGATAAGAGGGAAGCCAGAATAATTTTTTCTGGGTAGGTGGGATGGTTTAAATCATACTGCCCCGGTAAAATGTAAATATTCAAACCGTCTCTGTTTTCAACCGTAACTCTTAAACATGTGAAATTTGTTCCAAAATTTGCCTTTTTTTATTATTGCCATAATACGACGTTTTTCCGATCGCACGTCCCGAGGACTGTTAAGTTATTTGTTTATTTACGTGATTCCTGTATTTTCGATTTCAGATCATTCCACACGTTAATAAACGATGTACATTAATGTTTGTTGCGATAAAAATCTACAATCAGCTCTTAAACTATTCGATGTAGTGCACGTTCGTAATGAAAAACTTACTTGTCGAAAAGTGTTTTCACATCAATTTTTTATTTCGCCATCATGTGTTACATTATTATTACGTTACATTATAGACAATTCGGTTGTAATTATTACCTATTATTACCTATAGTCGTAATATTACCTATATATAATACCTAAGGTACTATTGGCGTTCGAGGTCAATCAAATTTTCAAACGATAAAAATATTCAGAGCGAAAATTTAAAAAACGTAACAATATTGTGTGTGTTATAGTGCTGAACTGCGTTGTGCACAATGTGAGTGTAACTCGCGTTTTCAAGCATTTCGATGTTAGATAGACGCGGATCGAACTCGTCAATTCGACAGTTAAAATAACCTAGGAATTTATTTACCGTGAAATATTCTCAAATTATTTATAGGATCACATAATTTATTTGCCGTCCGAAAGGTCAAGTAGCAGCAGTTCATCTTTTCAGCCGATTCCGCTGTAGTAGTCGACGCGTTATTATGAATCATGTTGAACTTCACTAGGTCATCCAATATAACAGACACCGTTTAATCGCTGAACGAAAATATACCGATATCACACTTAAATATGTGTATTTGAATAGCATGTAATAAATACTAGATATATCGACCAAAAATAATTATATGAACAATTTAATGTACTTAATATGAATAATTTATACCTACATAAAAACCTGTACTATATACTCGTATACATAAAAATAAACATAATATATTATCACTTATTAAAGATGACGTCAACACTAGATAAGCAGCTAATAATTTCTCCTTAAAATTGCTTAAAAAACAAATTGTCGTTAGATGTGCGAATTCGTTGGGACTCAGATACATAAAATTGTGTGGCCAATGTCGCAGGACGGTTAGACACTGCTAGGGAGGTCCAAACTTCACTAAATAATAATAAATGCTATTGTGTAAGAAACGTGATATTGTTGATATTTAATAGATGTCCAAAATATCCAAATAAAATCTAGCCTATAAGTAATCTTGTATGGATATCTATATTATATCTATGTAGAGTTATATATGGACTAGATTTAATAAGTATACTTCGGATATCTATTAATATCCACCAAATAGCATGTGCTATGTGGAACGGTTATTGAATTTCAAATTCAATTAAATATTTTTAAATCCATCAAAATGTATTCCGACATAATTTTTTTCAGGGTGTGCTCAGGGCTCGATCAAGGGGAAGGCTAGGGGGGCAATAGTCCCGGGATGCAAGTTGAGAAGGGTCATAATGTGTTTTAAAATAACTGGCTAATAAGTATAAAGTACTGTTTTATCAATTAATTGTGACTACACTACATACAATATACAAATATGGTATACTAATTTTAATTAATATTTATTACAAATAACAAAATCTGAATAAAAAAATGAAATTATTTTAAGTAAAAAAGGGCTTTGTGATAGCACCCTCATATTATGATCATAATCCAACCCTGAATGTACAACTAATGTATAAACAACTTCCGTATGTTGCGAGTGTCGTTATATTGTCGTAATAATGTGATAATACTAATAATACTAATAATAATTATGTGTGTCTATTTGTGTACGGCGAAAACCGCGTCAAGCCGTGAGAGAAATCATTTTCGAAACGAAAAGCCGATTTCGAAATAATATTGCACGTTGTTTATACTATTACCTAGGTATTATTATTATTATTATTATTACTATTATTATTGATAGTTATGAAGGCAGCCGCGTGTATCCCGTGGCGCGTTTAGACAAAAAGATTTACAAGAAAATAATATAATACATAATAATTATAAACAAAAAACAAATGCAAACGGTGCGTGATATTATTGGACTTATGTAATATTATACAGGATAATTTTTCGTGACAAGCAACACTCGTTTTCCCGATCGATTATGTGTTATCAAAAATATAATACCATGGAAAAGGTGTATTTTCAATTTCGCGCTGGGGAGCTGAGTAATATTCACTAAATCAACGTCGTATAAGAAACGGATAACTTAACGAGAGAAGTTCAAAGATGTTTGTAAATAGACGAAGTCCGAAACACATGAAAACGAAAAACTAATTGAAAATTGCATTTTTTAAAGAAAAAAAATACGTTAAAAAACGTTAAACCTGCGAGCTAAGACCGTTTACCAGACAAAACATTTGTTTGTAATTAAATAAATAAAATACCCATTGAATACATAGTAAGTAATTGTATAATACAAAATGCATAATCAATTGTAATATTAGCGGTCCTCATAAAAAGGGTGAAACAGAGTAATATAAACAATTACCTGATTACAATAAATTTAAAAAAAAAAACTATAATAATGCAACTTTCATAGACGTATCTAGGGGGGCTTGGGGGGGGGGCTTAGCCCCCCCCCCAGTGCGAATATTAACCCCCCAGAATTATTTGTATTATTTTTGCTCATTTCGTCGAGTAGTCTTATTTTCATTTAGTTTAGTGTTTTTTTTTTTTTATTATTATTATTGTTGTTTTTGCAGCCCCCTCCCCCAATATATTTGATCATCCTACGCCTATGGCAACTTGACAAACAATTAAAACAAATCAGTATAGAATAGTTATTGATTTGGAATTGATCGTTCGACTTGGTGCTATTTCGATGTTGATGGATTTCTGATATGAAATGTATGAAAATTCAATAGGTATCAAATCAATTAACTTTCGAACGTTTGCATTTAGTACCCAACATAATCCTAAATCCTCGTTCGCCTGCGCTTTTATAATAGGATAAAGATTGATTTATTTTATAGGAAACAATAATATTACACATTAACATGATATGGTCTTTGTTCCAAAGTTCTGAAAAGTAAATTGGAACCGGGGTCTTAAAACACGTGGTCAACCGAAACCTCGATTTTGAATTTTTAAGCACCAGGACTGAGATTTTTTTTTTTTAAACATTAAAACGTTAATGGTTCTAGGTACTAATTGGCACACGTAATACGAGTACAGAGTGCGAGCATCGAAAAAGTCATTCTATACAACAACGTACAGTTATTGTACGACATTACCGGGAGAGTACGTCGCGCGCCAACTCGTAACACGTGCCTACCCGTTGCCGCGACTCCCGTCTGCACCGTCTTCCACCGGTGTGCGATACGTGCGTCTTCCGCGCAGTTATCTCGCGGCCACGCATTCAACGCCACGTCCGTCGTCCGACTCGCACCGCCGGTGCACCACATGAACGCCGCGCCGTTAACCACCGCGGCGGCTGCGGCCGTCCGGGAACTGCGGCGCACGTACGGCTCGGCCGCGACGGCCGCGCACCGTGGCCGGCGTCGCGCACCGCAGACGGCCGACTGGAACCGCGTGGTGTCCGAGGCTGAGAAGGTGGTCGGGTACCCGTCGTCGTTCCTGAGCCTCAGGTGGCTGCTCAGCGACGAGATCGCCAACGTCGCGCTGCATCTGCGCAAGCTGGGCACATCCAACCATCCACTGCTGAAGGTCGCTAAGTGAGTACACGCGCGTTTTGCTGCGCCTTTGTTGCCGCACTTGAACCGAACTCGGTCGCGACCCACATCCTGTAGTTTTCTGCGTCGTACTTCTTATTATTCGTCCACTATGCCGATTGGGAATGTATGGCGTTTCATCTGTACCCCTCGAGTGCAATATTCTCGTAGGCGATTCCGCGGAAATGTTTGCGATCCGACCTGATCCTTGACGTGCCCACCGTGACATCCAACATGTATAAGCGCGCTCAATGGCCGAAGTCATAGCGAACCGTCAGGACACGCAAATTTCTTAGAGACTGCGATAGACCGCGATTGTGTGGATGATGATCGGTTTTCCATTACAATTACACGTTACTCGTGAGTCATGACCATAATGTGACCACGGAAAGATTTCGTATTACTTATTGAACACTAATATTAAATGACATATTATATGGGTTTTAAAAGTTTTGCAAAGCCTTATCTAACTAAGGGCGAACTTGGTCACGGGTTCGGTCGAACGGTTAGTTGTTGCCGTCCCAGATTCAGGGGCCATCGATATTGTATTCAGTTAGGCACCAACTTTCGTAATATTTCTTATCTGTAATAGAACACCACCGACGATCATTATTTCCGAAGATTTCCGATCGCCATGATTGACGATTGGTTAGTCTCTTCTAAAGTCCAAGCATTTTTTTTTTCAAAACCATTTGTGATATAAACAACGTAAATCGATCACTTCTATTGTGCATAAAATATATAATAATAATTATTTTGTCATATATATAATTGTTGTATGGTATAATTCCACAGAAATATTTTTGCGTAAGCATTTATTAATTTTAAATAATTGTTGAATATTGATAAACCATATAAAAATAATAATTAATTACGTTCGCAACGGAATAAAAAGACATTTCGCTGGTAAATAAGCTATTATTTATTATCAAAACGCTATTAATTCTCTCTCTATATAACTCGGGGTATTTTTTCCCGTACTCTTACGTCGTAAATACGGTATATCATTAAATACTAGCAGTTTACAGTATGTTCGTGGGCTTGGCAGGTAAGCTTAGATGAACCTGATTAGATTAATACTACGGTACCGCAGAGAAGTATTTATGGAGGAAGTTGATCGAGCTCGAAATGTCAGGAAATTATTTTTTTTTAAGAATGAACCTTACGTGATTTCAACTTTACAGTTCAAAATAATTGTTTTAACAATTTCAAAACAATTCAAGTTTCATATTTTTCATATTATGTAATTATTATTGAGTCTGAAGTTAACAAACGATAATCACGGTTGACAAAACAATACTTTTAGTTTGGTAACCCTTTTCCCCCATAAAAAATTTAATTAAATACACTACTTACGCATTACCCAATCACTGAGGAAACAGTTGCTATAGGATGAGTGCGTGTGTGATAAAAATATGGTATGGCCGTTTCTAATATCTATCTAGTTGCCCTGTAATTTACATAACTAACGAGTTTCCGTCTCTCACCTGTTCTGCTGCTGTTGCAGGGGCCTGCTGCAAAACAGCCGAGACAACATGCAGGCTTGGGGCCTAGTGGTGTTGCTTTTGTCCAAAGCGGCCGGCCACCTGAACGTGGACAGCTCTGCAGACGAAGACGAGTGCGGTGTGTTACGCAGCCAAAGGGCCCTGGCCGAGATCGCCGAGATGATCCGCACCAGTCATCGGATGCACAACAGTTTGATAAATATCAGGCCAGGACTGTTCTCGGAACCGGTGGTCCATAACAGCATGAGCTTCGGCAACAAGGTCGCGCTACTCAGTGGTGACTATCTACTGGCTAACTCGTACAACGAACTGTCCGCGCTCAAAAACCCAAACGTGAGTCGAGCACTGAAAACCGTACTGATTCGAGTGTATTGCTCGGGGGCGAAAGAGTATTCGATGTTGGGAGGGGTGCTATGTGGGCATTTGTTCCCGTCTGATTGGAAAATATTAGAAAAACCGCTGAAACGCCGGTGGTTGCAGTTCAGCCGTGCTCGGCGAAAAATCATGTACATTTTATAATTTTCAGTAATAAACCTAACCTAATATAACCTAACCGAGTACTAGATAATCGTTGTCAAAATAATAATTAACGGTTAGTACGAGCTAACCGCTATATACATCGTGCGTGTGTTCAGTTCGAAAGTTAGTGGACGCATTGTTGGTGTGAATTACGAGTCTGTAAATCACGTTTAAAATTTAACATGAATCGGCCGTGAACCAATAATAAAAGTTTATGCCCGATTGGTACTTAAAAAATAAACTTCGATTTGATGGAAAAGATAAATAATATGTTATTCTGGACGGAGTTAAAAAAAATCATACGTTTGCACAATGTTGATAGATCATAATATTCGTGACAATGTGTATGAGTAACACGCGTTCTTTTTTGTTTTCATTTTTACGATACCGTCTAAAGCTGATGGAGCTGATCAGCAGCGCGCTCCGCGACCTGTCCGAAGCTGAATTCCTGGGTCGTAGGGACGCGCAAAACAATCCATTGCCGTCGCCGTTCGAACCACTCGACCGTTGTCCACTCGGCTCCACCCGGCTGCACTTCAACCCGCTTCTGCAGCCACCCGGCCCGCTGGGCAACATGCCGCTGACGCCGGCCCTGCGTGACTGGACCCGGTGCAATGTGCTGTCGGCCGGTAGCCTATTGGGCAAGACGTGCCAGGGCGCGCTCCTTCTAGCCGGCCACGGCGAACATCTGCAGAAACAAGGGTTCTTGTTCGGTAAACACTTGTCGCTGGCCTGGCAGGTAAACCAACCACGTCCTGCGACTGCATTGTGCAGAGTGTCCATGTGAAAATCGCGAAAATAAAAATCACGAAATGTTTTAACAGCGAAAACTTTAATAGCGAAAAAAAGAAATCATTTTCGTTAGTGGGTATACCTTTATAATATAATAATATTAGATAATCAATAATGTAATTTTGTACTATTCCGTCTTGGATCACGTAATAAAGATAAGCCGTGGTTAAACCTAATCACTGTCAAGCTTTATATATTATAAATAATATATAAAGCTAATATATATAAAGTATATATTATATACTTTATATATATATTGTGATCATAGCATAGTGTGATGATGTATTTTATACTGTGGCGCACAGATTTTTGACAAGGGTGTCGAAAATATATATTTCGAGGTACCCATCTACCCCCACCAGTAAAATCTGAGTTTAGGCATAGTTTAACTCTTATTTTTAAGTATTTTTGGTTTTTTCTTACTAACAAAGATACTAAAAAAATTTTTTTTTTTAAATAAACCTAATATTAATTATTTTTAAATTATCTGGGTATTAATTTATAAACTTGTATAGCATAATTTTTGGGATTGAGCCCTACTACTTATTCTCATGTGACGCTTTAATTCTAGGGCAAACATAATTAGTATGTTGATTTGGATAGCTGAAAAATAGGTTAGTATTAAATTAAACAAATATTCATTTGTCCCACACAGAACTAGCCACCCACCAATTCTCTGAGGGGTGTCAGTCGACACCCCTGACCCTTCCTGTGTGTGCCACTGATTTTATATACTTATACAAGTTTAGGAAAAACATCAAATTTTAATTTAAATTTTTATAATATTTTGATTTTAATGTTCATTATTACTTATTATATTATAAAGGTATATCCAGGTATATTTCTTACTTTTCGGTATTAATGTTTTTGCTGTTAGAATATTTCGTGATTTTTACTTCCGCGATTTAAACTGGTACCCTTCTGCAGTTTATACAAATACGTTAATGTTAATACACAAAACGCCGTAGTTCTTTAAAATAAATAATTATTTTATATGATAATGAGCACTTCTAATGTTAATGTACCGAATGAATCCAAAAATATATACTTCAACTAGTTATTCTACAAAACTAACAATAACGATTTAGTGAATTTACACTGAATTATTATTAAATTCCTATATGAAAAATAAATACACATTTTTAAAAAATGTATTCTGATTTGTACAATGTTAATTTATTAAAATTATTAAATTATTAAAATGTCAAACAAATTATAAATTAAAAATAAAAATTAAATGTCCATATTTAGTAAGTAAATTTAAATATGCTCTAAATTATTATGTCATTTTTATTTATTAGTACACGACATTTTTTGGTGGCATTTAGGGTTACACAATAAAACTATGTTTGGTATTTTAAATTAAATTCATTATTCAGTATCATTAATTTATTTTAAGTCTGTTAAAAATGTAGTTTAAGGTAAAAAATTGTAGTGGAAACGAACGCATTTATTTATTTTTTGATGTTCATGAATCAAATGATTATCTAATTATTAAAACAATTTTTATTATTAAAAATACTATAAAACGACAAGAATGTGTTTACGCACGCAACGATTCGTAATAATAACTAGTAAAAAATGCCCATATTTTACTGTACTGCATATGATACCATACGATTGCACAGTTCGAAACAATTTTCTGTTAAAGATTTTGTACTTTCAAGCTAAATTTCGTCAATATCAACATCGTTTTAATTAATTTTATTTACATTCGTGATTCATAGTTAAATGTATTGTTATTGTCATGTTAGTCACTTATCTTAGTGTTTTCAAACATTTTGTTTCTCGTCATTTTGTTATCATTTATATAACAGTTACTACGAGTATCGAATGGGATTCACTATCCCATACTCGAAAACAATCTCGATAATATTCAGTGAGACTAAACGATCAAATTAATGATAATTATTTTATTGCTTGGATCTAATTTCGTTTTTAATTTCTGTTTTTGACGTCAACTTTGCAAACTGTACGTTTAAATACATCAAAACCTTTACTGTAGAAATAAAATGTAATTTTCAAAATAAATGCTACAGTTTCATCTCAAATCATTAATTTAAATTATGATTTAACCTGACATCAACACTGCACTTTTGATCGAACGTTTTTCAAATAGAAATATACTAATCTTATAATATTATTTTATTATCATACACTAATGTATATTATTATGAATTCTACGCAGGCGTATTTAGATTTGGAACCGTTTTTGACCAGTTCGCCGTATTCGCTGGGAATCTCTTTTAATTTGACTTCAGCGCCTGTTATGTTTCATCTCGAACACGACCCGGCGTTATTTGAAGAAATCGACAAAGGAGTGAATACTGTTCAAGACATCGACTACGTCAAAGTAAACCAATTGATTTCCATTATCATATACCTACATAATTATTATAATATGAAGTAAATTATGCGGACATTTAAATGATATTTTAATACAAGAATTAATTATAATATAGTGATATTACCACAAATAATAGTATCTAATTATATATCAACTAAAAATAAAAATATTTCTTATTCTATTGATTGGAAACAATAATTTGATTTTCTTTAATTAGAACAGTACTGAATAATTAATTTAATTTAGAATACAAAACATTCTTGCCGTAATAATTCAGCATAGGCAACTTTATAATCTGCCGACAAGTTTGTATAATCTATAATGTTTATTCGAAACACTGTACTTACTTAAAACAGACAAAACATTAAAATTCAATTAACAAACTTTCACCGACGAAATGTTATCGAATGAAACAGAATTAATCATAATTTTTTTTATTTTTGCACTTGAAAACCAAACCCAAAAATATCATTCTCGCGTAAAATATACAATAAACAATAGTATTTTACTTGGCTCGTAATGATAGAATTTATACAAAATATCGATAAAATAAAATTACTTTTAACACCCCGACACATAAGAATTGGTTAGAAACCAAATTAAATCAAAGCATATGGATCGTTTTACAAACGATTAACCTAAGTTGTTATTAAAACTAAGCATTCAGTTCAATATTGAATGACAATCAAACAATATTTACATGCGACATGAACGATAACAATTTTTTTCTTCACTACCTTAATGTGATTTACTGCATCGCCGAATAGGTGCACGATATCGTGATGAAAGGGCCCGGGATCGATTGCACGAAACAACTGCAAAAAGAGCATTCGCGGAAAGCTATGGAAGTGTTGGACGAGTTCGAGGAAAGTGACGCCAGGACAGCCTTATCCAACATCATCGTCGCTATGGACCGCGAATAAGGTATTATCCATCGTGATGTTTATTTTTCGTCTGATTTTTGGACTGAAACCGTTGAACCATCTCTTGTCAAAAGACACGATCTAATCGAGTAAGACGTGCGCAAGTACACGACGCCACTTAAGTAGGTGCACTGACGTGGTGTCAGTAACTGAGTAATGCGTTCAGTTGCGAGATTCGGCGAAACGTTTTGTTTTCAATTTTAAATTTGGTGTCAATAGTTTATGAATTAAAAGAATAAAAGCAAAAGCAGGGGCATATTTAGAAATGTCTTATTGAGGGGGGAGGGGCACAAGCAAAAAGTTCAAAGTATACATAGTTATAACTTTTCTATTTAAAAAAACTGTCGTTATTCATAACCAAATAATCAAAATACAAGTGTTTGATAGAAACATAATATTTTATTACACAAATTTATAACAAAACATATTTTTAAATATAATTTTTGTAATTATAATAACTGAAGACGTCGGGGTGTTTATTAGCATATGCATCAACTACTTCTTCAGGTCCTATAATTATTTCAGGGTGTTGCTTAAGCAATGCTGATCCGTTTAATCAATGGTATCATATTATCATGATATATTGGTTAATATTCCAGTATTTCATCGTGTGCCCGTGCGTGAAAAATAAGAGGGCCTACAATAATAAATAAAGTATAAAATACAGTGAATGGAGAGGGCACAGGCCTCATGGGCCCACCCTTCAAATACACCCCTGAACAAAAGTATAATATATCTATATACATATTATGTTATACAATATTGTTTTCCAAATATTGTCATGATTTCATAACTTGATATTTGTATAACCCGCTTGTTTACACTAAATGTTTTCACTTTTGAATCAACTACAGTACTGTACACTACTATACTTGATGTTTTCGTCAAATAATCGTCATAACGTAATTTATTTAACCGAATTGCCCCCCGGAGACTCGATTGTTTATTTATAGTTATTGGTTACTTAGTTTTACTGAATATATGATATACGTATTGATAAATGTCTATTAAGAACGGAACAATACTTGGGTTTTAATATCGTAATGATTCATCACGTTAATATGTAAAGTTTCTGAAACACGCCTGTGTATTATTATTATAGTACTCGTCAAAGTGACCTATAGTATAACTGTGTATATGTGAATATCACGATCGAAAACGTTTTAGCTTTCTATACGTATTAATTTATTATTAAGATTTCTTTCGATTTGTATTATTTGTGTGAGAGAATAATACATATTTTAAAAAACGCTAACTATTCGTAAAATATTTTTTATCACTGCACTCAAAATAATAAATATATATTTGTTTCGTTTTATAGGTTTATGTTAATTTTGAAGTTTAAGACTCTACATAAGTTTGTTTTTTTTAAATATTATTAAGTGTAACAACAAGAATGCTATACGAATACGCTAACTAATCGACTTACACAAAAGCAATATTAAAAAAAATGGCCACATACCAAAACACTTGTTTACATTTATTTATTTTTTTTATTTAAATTTTTTATTTTTTTAAATAATCGCTGGAGCAACTGAACGGTGAAGTAACGGTCTCTATTGAGAATAACACACGCGGTAAATAAACCTGCAATGTTTAGTGGTTTTTTGGTTATTTTTTTCGATCGTAACGGAAGCCCGTTCGAAAAAAAATCACGATTAGTTTGTTTCATTTCTACTTTCTAGAACGTAAACTCGACTGAATGAGCACTCCAAATAATTTTGATCCGATCGGAATAATGTCTGATACAATAATATTTGTATGGTACGTGTGCTAATCATTATTATTATACATGTGCCTCATATAAAATGCAAGATAACAATAGTGTTAAAGTAAAAGTGATTATCATGTGTTATTATTTTATTCGTATTACACCTGACAACGGTATGAATATTGTTATACAGAGCGATGGATAGTAGTACTTTTTCGTCAAAAATGTTTTCGAATTTTTAACGAATCTTATCATTATATATTTTTATAATAATTTAAAAATTAAGCAGTCGGTAGATAAAACACATTTTATCGTTTTATCTTGTTTTCTCTGAACATTTCACAATTTTTATTTTTGAATAAATTTCATATATTCTGCACACTAATCATGAGTACGAAATATATAGAGTGAGTAACGTATAGAGTTGGTGGAAGGGTCATTTCTAATCATGTATTCAAAAATTAAATAACTTAAACGTTTGTTTATATATATATATATATATCAACAATAATACAATCGCATTTTCAATACGCTACGAATGACACGGTGTATAGTGAACGTAAACGCATACACACCAATAGTCTTTAGTCATTAAAATAATTTCACCGCCGAAGACTGTGCTGAGTATACTATTTAGCTGCGAGTGTTTCGACTTCAATTTCGATGTTTTATTGACAAATGTACGAGACACCAATAATTATATGACGCAATTAGTTTTGCAATTTAATATTAAATAATAACCAACGAAAACAACAGATGCATTATAACTTTTTGTTTGGATGGAACTCCAAACGGGTTATGCTGTGCATAATCATGTTTGGGTGTAAAAACGGATGCGTTTTGTTTTCTCGTGTAATATTTAGCATGGATAACCTACGTAATGCATAAATCACAATATAGCCGTAACGTCATAATAATTTGGATGTAGAATATTATTTTTTTTTTTTTTTGTCATTGCTATTGACCACTATTCGTTTTTAAAATAATCACATGGATTTCCATGAAATAAAAAATAGAAAATCATCATCATTCTAAAGTTTCAAATTGAAAAGATTGGAAAAAATTGATTTGGTCCTCTAATTGTTATTCGTATTTTTTATAATACAAGGAATAAATAAATATTATTATTATTGTTCATGTGATTTATACAAATCGTGTAAATAACTATTTGCAGGTAAACGATGTAAATACTGTTCAAAAACATTTTAAGAGCTTAATACATAACGTCATAAGTATTATTACTGCACATAGTGGGCAGTTTCCTAATATTACAAGTTAAATTAACTTACATTTCGAATTGGAAATTAATAAACGTTGACGAACGGACCTAATCGTGACATAAATATTATAATATTGTAAATTTACCGTCTGCATTTTTATTTATTTTTTTTTTCATTTCATATAAATTTTATAAAACTCGGTCATAGTACAATTTCAATGCACTAGTTTTTTTTTACAACACATGGTCTGAATAGTATCTTTTTTCGTATGGCACATACAATAGGAGTACAGTTATTACTTGTTAAGCTCATATAGTCGTATTATTTAAGACCTACAATAATGTTTGCTGTTCGCCTACTTTCTATACATTTTGTCACTAGACTTTTTATCGCCATCATACTTCGTTGACTTACATTATACACTGTGCATGTACCATTTAGAGTTATCCGTTTCTATAATATTTTAAGAGAGAAAAAACTATTTAATTTTTATATTTTTCGCGTTTTCGCCGTCGTGCAGATTTAATGTTGGCCTTATTATACTTCTATGCAGTCATGTAGTAACTCCATTGACTCCGATACAGTAATTATTGAACTATAAGAACGGAATATTTATACTTATAACGGTTGGATGCAACAATAAAATGCAGTTCCCGAAAACACCATTACAATATCTATTCTATATACGTATCCAAACTAAACGCAACCAAATATTATTTTTAATTATTCATTCGGTTTGACCATCAAGCGTTGTAGGCCGTTTGTGGTCTAGTGTGAATGAGGCCGAGTTCGGTTCGTCAAGTGGGTTATAGACCGGTCGTCCTCAGTCATCCAAGGCCATTGTCTCTCCCGCAAGGAATAATCTTACCTGACGTAGTGCAACGAGGAATGTGGCCCCCTAAAATATTTAGAATGCCCATCGTTCGTTCAAGATTATGGTATGAGAAAAAACTGGTACCTGCAGCCTGTCGGCTTTACTAATTTATGTTTATTTTTTCTTGTTTCGAGACATTACAACAAAAAAAACTAGTAATATATTGAACTATTCTAAAATTGAAAAAAAAAATCGTAGTTCATAAAATCAAATGCATTTTGAAAATATGTATATACTTTATATACTTTCTAAACTGTTCAGTTACAATTGAATTATAAAAATAATTACACGTAAAATGTGAATTAATACTTAAAAATGCGATCAGATATTCATTATTTTGATTGCCCACTGCGGGTTTCCGATTAAAAATAATAATAATAATAATAATAATATTGTTAAACTATTCATTCGTATAACCTGTAGTAGCCATTATTTATCTTTCATACACCGTTAATGATAATTTATTAATTAAAACCGACAATAGAATTATTGGGGTTAATTTACTGTGTTTTGATGAACTATGTTTTTGATTATTTTTCGTACTGATATTATTTCATTGAAACGCTACGCATTAAAATGATATTTTATTCGTATATAATCTGTACTTTCTGCCCCTGCGGCAAATTATTTATACATATTTTACTATTATAATATTAAGAACGGAACTGATAAATATAATTACATGTATTGTATTTCAAATATAAAGGACGCTACACAAGTCCACGATTCGTTTATCGAAACCAGTGGCGTAGATACAATTTATTTCTGAGGGGGAGGGGTGTTTAAGAGTAAATTTGTAAGTGTTCTTAGTATATCTTAAAACGAGGTCATATGTAATAATATTACATTTAAAATGATATTATTATTATGTCCCATATTTAATGAAAATTATTTTGTTATTCAATTTTTAATATATACCTAATCATAGTAAAATCAAAATATTTTATTCTAATATATAAATATTAATAAATAATAATCAAATATCATAAAAAAAAAAAAAAAATTTGTGGGGGGATGGAAACCCCTTACACCCTCCCCATAACTACGCCACTGATCGAAACGATTTAGCGCGGACAAGAGCCAGTCGGAATGTTAAGTCCTAGTTGAGCAACCAGATTTTCAACATTAAAGACAAGAACTTTGGCTGTGAAATACCGTTTTTGAAATTATTCGATATCGTTAATACGAAAAAATTTCATGTTGTTTCGTGATGGATTATTTTTGTCAGCGTCGGATACGTTTTCAAGTGCGTGTTTGGTTAAATAATAAATCGTTCCATAAATTTTTATCGACAAGAATGTTTTTTGGTGCCGTCGTGGGTACCACGTCCTGGTCGTACCATGAAAGTTTTGCGATTCGAAAATCCAACCGATTCGTGATTACGACGGTAAGACAGGGGAGGGCATCCGTTGCACGATCGATGGACACGGCGACGAGTGCTACGAGTGAGCAACAGCGCACCAGTCGCACTGAAAGCTGTTCGTGAATGTCGTGTCGGTCATCGCCGGCTTACGACCGCAGGGAAAGCGTGGTCCGGGAAAAAAATAAAAAATAAATATTAAAAAATATAAATAACACGTACGTAAATTATAATCAACCGTATAATATTCAAAAATAAAATACCTGAAAGCGAAAGCGCGCGCGTTATTGTACGCGCCGCGGTCACGTCCGTCGATGTGTGTACCGCGCGCCGGACGCGAAAACGTTTCCACTTCGTACATTATTAGTTTTGCGTCGTTTTTTTCAAACGCGCGTCGGCATATCGCAGGTGAACGCAACGGCGAATCGCAACGTTAATGATCGCGATACGCTTTCGTGACGATACACAACCGAACGTTTGCACCGCGAATGTAATTCACTCCTACGCGAATTAATCGCTAACGTTTTCGCTCAACTTATGCAATGTACAACTGAATCACCACGAAATATCGTACTGATATACTCGTATTACGTTGTCGGGTGTACCCAGGGGCGGGACTAGAGGTAGAAGCAGTGATGGTGCTAGAGTTTGCGAGGCCCTGGGCAAAATAAATGTTGGGTCTTATAATTTATATTAAATAAAATATTTTAAGTTCAGTTAAATCAGAATCGCGAGGCTTTGGTTATAATTTTAAGGCGTGGGGCCCTGGGCAACTGCCCCTATTGCCCACCTCCTCGCGCAGTCCTTGGTTGGAAGACTCGTAAGGGATTCGTCCCCGGACGTAACATTTTAGAGGGTGTAATTTTTTTAATTATTAACAAATAATTTGATAATTTTAACTTTGTTTAATACTGTTATTAGGTTAAAACTCAACAAGTATGATTGTAAATTAACTATTAGAAAATAATTCTCGAGAAGAGTATTTAATTATTGGTCTATGATAAGGCGTAATTTTAACATTTTCCCCGGGCGTAAAAATTCTTAGTTCCTCCTATGGGTATACCTAATCCGATTTAATGCGTATCATTTTTGGTCCAATAAAGGCCCGTGTAGATAAGTTAATATTGGGTTGAACGCGAGAGATTATATCAACTTCTGTAAAAGTGTTACCGTTCCTTTTAAATAACCATCATAACCGTAATGATATGCGTCGCGTCATCGCGTCTTCGTGACGACGATGTCCGAGCGTGACTAACTGCGTAAGAAACGTTATCAGAGTAGCGAAGGAGAGGAGTTTACTGCAGGTGTACGTGTACATAATACGTACACGACTTCGATTATATTTACTGTAGTTGTGAAGGGAAAGTCTGCGAGCAAGTTTTATAAGGTTCCGATGAATGTTTTCTAAAAAGAAAAAAAATCGGTCTACAGTTAATACCATTCGTTTCATTATAACAAACGTACGAAACTCGACCGGTAATCAAATTTTTGTACTGCGCAGATAATATGAGTTCGGACGATTAAACATTACGTTTAATATAAAACGAATTAGGAAGATTCCCAAAACGTCCCGTTACTGTTTATTATTATTAGCTGAACTATATAAAATTTCACCCGGGAGATATATTACTATATATTAGAAAAATTACTATTTAGTTGTAAAAAATTATTTTAGTTGAATAAATTGCACAATTTTCGTCTTAAGGTACCTATTAAGTTTTGTTTAGTTATACTATATTCATTTACACATACAATAATTATTAAAATCTACATATTAAATAAAAACATAAAATATTTTCTTAACCACCAAAAATTTAAAACATTTATACAACCGGACCGGAACCTAAAACTGTTTCTACCCTTAAAAATACGATTTTCGAAAAATCTTTTCTTATTGCACCAAATAAAAATAATTACATTCCCTTAAAATTGTAAATGATTCGGTATGGTCATTTTTGCAGTTTATTTATTTATCGAAATCTTTGATTATTAATCTTATTTCATGAATATTGATTTCGAAAAAAATTACACGAGAGGCGTCTTAAACTTTCTTCAAGAAGACTATGCGATACTTATCAGCAGAATACGTTTTGCCGGTTTAATAATATAACCACTATTTTCTCATAGTCGTATATACATTATATTTTTACAATCACAAGTCTGTTAATAAAGGTTGGTCGTTATAACGAAATTCTATTGTAGTTTAAAAAAATATATCGTTGACGCGTTGGCCTAAAATATTACTGTTTTGGCTAGTTTCTCCGTTTTTAATCGGCCATGAGAGGAATGTTACTAAATGAACTCTCAGCGATTTAATCATTATAATCGAAAGTTACGGTCTTTGATGTAGATTTCATACTTTCAGCGTCATTTTTCGAACTCAAAATCTGAAAAATGGAAAGAAATTAAAAAAACAACATTTGTATTCGATTTCCTAGCTAACTCTCGAAATCTAAAAGCTTGAAATTTTATTCACAAATGTATTTATTGGAAAAAATATATAAATCATTTCATATCGTTACTATAAGCCAGAGGTTCCCAACCTTTCTTGACTCACGACACCCTTTATTATTGTTTAAAAATTCAGAGGCACCCTATAGCCTATACCCTATATTCTATAGTTTATACTGAATATGCAATAGTAATATTTCGTATATTTAAATTTATATTTTGTAACTTCGGTTTTATTTAGCAATTAATAAACAATAAAGATAAGATAAAGTCACAAGTATTTCACTATAAATAACTTTAAAATAGTTCAAATAAAATCGATAGCAATTGAACCAGTATGAAAATTAAAATAGATTGAACATCGCAGTATTACTGTGTAAAAATTATATGTGTTTTATAATTAATACATTAATTTATATTGTATATACCTAATTATTTATACACAATCTGTTGTATTACTTATAGTGCTATATTTTTCATGAAGGCGTTTAAAAAATAAATATATATTTCAAATAATTTCGCGGTACCCAAGAGTGCCGCGGCACCCTGGTTATGAACCTCTGCTATAAACAATTAAATGTTGATAAAAACATCTATTGCATTTTTTTAACGGTATTCGTAAAACTAATATGTACATGCATATCCAGAGGTATGAAATTAAATATAAGCCTTCAGGCTTGTTTTAGACTATATAGGAAGAAGATAAGGATAGAAAGTGGTATAACTGGTATTTAAGGTACGTTCATGAGCGCGTATTAAAAACGCGCATTATGTTCATTATACACCATTCTTAATGTGTCTACAGTACTGCGAATAAAAGTAAAACTTGTTGCTATTTTGTAATACTATTCACAGATACGCAGAACTGTTGCGATTTGACGAGTGATCGATCACAAGCCTCTTTTCATAATTATTTATTTATTTTTTATCCACTTATATATATATATATAGCTATTAGATAATTGTTATTATTTATTTAATATTACACCGATCATCTTCAGTGCCGATCGCGTTTCGAATATAATATTTTATATGCGTTATTACAGTAACTTTAATATATAAGAATTATTAGTCGCGAAAATAACAAATAATTAATTTTTTCTTAGGTCTACCAACACACGTCATAGGATAATCGCAATATTTCTAAATTTCCAGCGGTGGGGGAATACATTGAGCTCATTGGTCACGAATATTGTAACGGTTTACTATACAATAATAGTTTATCAGCTATATTTGTAAATAAAACATTAACTTGTACTTACAGATTTTTACAGCATTACTATGTTATAATATATATATATACAGGGACGGCGCCAGGAGGTGGGCAACAGGGACAGTTGCTCAGGGTCCCGCGCCTTAAATTATAATTAAGGCCCCGCGGTTCTGATTTAACTGAACTTAAAATATTTTATTTATATAAATTATAAGACCCAACATTAATTTTGCCCAGGGCCTCGCAAACTCTAGCACCGTCACTATATATATATATATATTGATATATATATTTTACCTCAATATATTGAGGTGATGAACTTGTTGCACCTGAGCAGTTTAAACATACGACTTCAAAATATTATATTATAGTAGATGATCGTCTAGTCTAAGGTCTATTATTTTGGAACTTGTTATTGAAGGGCAATGACGACTAACGCAAGCGATTGATAGAAAACAATGATTATTAATTGTATTTATATGCGAGTATAAAGGGTAATATTTATAACGTTAAACACTTGTCTTTACGATTAATTTATGACAAAGGTTGACGTTAATAAATTCACTCTGTATAATAGATCGCAGGTGTGTACACAAAGGTCAAAGTTCATAAAGCTCAATCCCCCCCCCCCGCGAAATTTAGGAAAATTATTAAATATGTTTTTAGAGATTAAAAGTGGTTTTTAGTATAAAAATCTACAACCTGAAAGATGGCGCCCTCTTCAAAATATTGTTCAGTGTACACATCTGATAGGCCGTCTGTAAATTATTGAGAAGTATGACGGACGCTACAATGATATTAATTACACAAAAATCTAATTATGGCGACATTGACAAGTTATGACGATAATTATTTATGCTTAAGTTTAACATGCAGTTAGCTAAAACCAGAATTGTAGAAAAATAGTAATAGTATTTGATTATTGTGTACTTTCGTTTCAGAACACGTAGGCAAATCGATGTCTATCTCAATACGTTTTGGGTTCTAAGCAGAGACAAGGAAGAAATTGGGTATTTTTATTATTTTTATGATTATTATCATCATCACATTGCATAGAAAACAGTCAACTATCAAGGTCCGAACAAAATGCATGAATGCATAAAAACTGCAAGTACGATGTGGTGCACTGAACAACGCGGATCTATGGAATTCATGTATAAAATTATATAATATTATATGCAGAACAATTGGATATTATTATGTAGGCATACAACTCGTTACATAGTCCTTGCAGGGTCACGACTTAAAATATATTCATTCCGGGACGTTTTTATGTAGGAGGTGTGGATGTTAAAGTTGTTGTAACACGTCCACTCGTGTTATATGTTGGTGTGAAGATTATTTTTTTATTTACTCTATTATCGATAAGTTTAAACCGTATACGCGGCACTTGTACAAATAAAAAATACACATATATATGGTGTGCATGATAAAACGTATAAATACATTTTCGTTATTAATATTAAGTAACGGTGTTAATGTGGCGAGAAAACAATGCTATATGCCTTATAATATCATAACTTCGAATATATTAATATTGTGTTACAGTAAGAACTGTCAGCATCGGAACCACGCGAAGTCTTAATAAATATTCCGGTTCGGACAAGTTTCCAAGCTCGTCCAAATTGCGCAATATTTATGATATAATTTGTGACCGGGGGCTAAATACCATTTTTATGGCACATAGGTTTCCGGCTTATTCAGGATTCATTCTATAGACAGAATTGTCCTGGGGCGTGTGCATTTATAAGAAAACATTCCATACGACGCCGTCGATATTAAAGTACATCAAGTAACGCCGCGTAAAACAACCACTGGATAAGCCGGAAACTTGTTTAAAAAGAAGAAATCCTGTGCAATTCCGTCGTAGACAAATTTTTCTGTATTTACTCGCGAGCTGAACTAATATATATATATATATATATATTACCTACCATGTAGGTGTGTTATAAACAGTGGTAGATCCATGGGGGTGGGGGGTTTAAACCTCCCCCAAATCAGGAAAAATATATATTAAAAATCAATAATTTTTACGAATTCAGAAAAAGATTTTTTTTTTTAAGTGTGGGGAAAGTATATAATTTGTATTTTTATTCATACAAGAAAATAGTAGTCTTAGATTTCAATTAATGTATTATATTAATAACTATTATCTTAATTCATTATCAATCACTGATTGCAATGTTATAAAAAATATCCCAAGGGAAAATATTTTTCAAACTCCCCCCAAAAAAATTAAATCTTGGATCAGCCATTGGTTATATTATATGGTTTACGGCATTTCTAAAAACAACATAACCAAGTTGTTGTCAACGTGCTGTTATGTTGTATATTCTCGTTTGAAAATGCTAGTGGACTGAACAATAATATTCGAACGTCATCGTCACGTCGATTGGGCAACTGTCGCAGATATCAGCGAATCGCAATAACATTTCACCGAGGACCAAATACGCTCTGTACACGCGATTATCCACATGGGTCTATCACGGAACAAAAAAAAAAAAAAAAAAAAACGAGAACGATTTGGTCACTGTAGACTGAGTTGGTTAATTTTAGAATTATCAGGTATCTATTACAAGGTGAGGAGGATACGAGCGAAAAAAATAAAATAAAACGAAAGGTATGCGCTCGCAATTACTGGGCCGATTTGCGTGTATGGAGCGAGCAGATGGATTTCTCAACGTTCAAAACCACGTTAGACTTTTTATCTCCCAAAGAACTGTTTTACATTCCGAGTTTTCCATAAACATAAAAATAATAAACATTAATCGTCGCCATTTTCGAAAGCTTTGCCCATGTGACGGTCATCGATGTCAACATACGTCCATACAGTGCCATGTCTATTTATAAAACTTAACCAACCGACTTGGTATTGTAATGATACATTTTCTTGATCCCCACTTCGCTTCGAACAATAAATCGCATTTAATGTGCATTGGCTTTCGGTATTATGTCCTAAAATATCAACCACGGCGGTCTATTGACATCGAACGTTCTAGATAACGAGTCACTTGGATATTGAACAAGCATTTACTTGGGGCTCGCGGAAGAAACTGCTCTTGCCCGACGTGCCACAACCGATCCCTTGTTAATTTTTCCGTCTAAATACTCGTACAGGGCTCGAAGAAACTGTTTTTCAAAACTTTTGACTATGAACACCAACTTCTATATATCAAAATATTATTATTATGTTATTATTTTATCATTTAAGATTGGTTGAACCTTGCATTTCCCGCGTTTCGTTTATTGTTATCGTCGGGCTGATATACAACAGAGTACCGATATATTCACCGAGTGGGAAACGTGTGCGAGATTGCAACACTATTTCGTGTACGTATTCTTACTAAAAAAAATAGTAATAAAAAATTGATTCCCTCTCCCAATCTAAACCGTGAACCGGATTGCACCACTCACTGCAACCGTGCAGGGAAACATGTGCGAGCAGCAACCGCCAGCTGTTGTCGTCGAAGGCTTTTGATTACGGCGTTCGCCCGTAGATTGTACCTCGAGACCCGTCTAGGATGTGACGACCAATCGTTGTTCACCGTCGTTCTTATCTACCCGGTGGCGACTGCGCACGAGAACCTAACGGGGTCTGATAGTAATAATAATAATAATAAAAAAAATGCTGATAACTCGCACGATTTGCCCACTCGGTATTGCGACGTCGTATCACGATTGTTCGGTTTTCACGTACTCTTTTCTTCTTTCGCCCTCTTTTTTTTTTTTCTTGACCATAGCGACGAGAATCGAACGCCGAGAACGGTTGTGGCAATAGCGCGCACCGTTCTGATACGACGACGCGAGTGTGCAGCAGCCCTGCAATGGCGAGCGAAGTTCGTCGCCGTCGCCGTCGTCGCAGTTGTTGAATAATAATCGAAAAAAATAATAATCAAGTCCGAGGGGCCGTAACTGCCGCTGCCCAACGACGGCCTTGAAGCCGAAACCGTTCCCGGTCATGGTGCTGTACACTCGTAATCGGTTCACTTTCTCCTTTTCTCTTTCATAACTGTGCGGTCGTCCCGAGCGCGCCGCGTCCAATGCTACACCGCCGTCCGTCATGAACACCGCACCAGCTACGATCCGGCTGCTACGGCCCAGCACCATGTTGACGAGGAACCATGTAGCGGCCATCGTCAGCTATCGGCGGCCGTACGCCTCGTCGGCTGCCGCGGTGCACAACAGTCAGCAGAAGCCCGACTGGAACCGTGCTGTGTCCGAGGCCGAGAAGATCGTCGGCTATCCCACATCCTTCCTCAGTCTGCGATGGTTGCTCAGCGACGAGATTGCAAACGTCGCGCTGCACCTGCGCAAGTTGGTCGGCTCCAATCACCCGCTGCTGAAAACCGCCAAGTGAGTTGTTCGTCCGCACTGCGTGTTATTGATTGTCACCATTTTTCATCTATTTCTATCCGTCATCAGGGGCCTGTTGTACAACGGTAGGAATAACATGCAGGCATGGGGTTTAATTGTACTGCTCATTTCTAAAGCGGCCGGTCATCTGAATGTCGATGAAATGGAAGAGGACAAGGCGGCCGGTGTTTTGCACAGTCAAAGAGCGCTGGCAGAGGTTACCGAAATGATTCGTACCAGTCATCTTGTACACAATGGTCTAGTCAACATTTACCCTGGGCTTTATCCTGAACCCGTTATTCTCAATGACATGGCATTTGGAAATAAGATTGCTTTACTCAGTGGTGATTATTTACTGAGCAACTCGTGCGCAGAACTTGCTTCTCTTAGAAACCAAGATGTAAGTACCTAATATTATTACCTCTTGTTAAATTTAGATAACCAATTGATGGTGGATAATTTTTTTCTTTCTAGCTTGTCCATTTAATTAGTAGTGCTCTGCGTGATCTGTCTGAGGCTGAATTTGTGGGCAGAAGAGATTCTCAAAATAATCCTCTACCTTCACCATTTGAACCACTTAATCGACATTTTAATTCAAAATTACCTCTTGACCCTCTGGAATCGTTAGATTCTTTAGGTAGTATGCCTTTGACACCAGCTCTACAAGACTGGACTAGACGTAATGTTCTGTCAGCCGGCAGCCTACTGGGTAAATCATGTCAAGGCACATTAGCTTTAGCTGGACATGGAGTAGAATTACAAAAACAAGGGTTTTTATTTGGCAAACATCTTTCCCTTGCATGGCAGGTAAATTAAATATTATAACTTTAGACGGTCTCTTAATTCAATTAAATTTCTGAATCTTTGATTACCTGAAAGTTAACAGTTTTATATATTATTATTATTACATTAAATAAAATTACTAATTAATACCAATCATATAGTCAATTTTGTTTTAATTATCATATTTACCTTCAAATTGAAAAAAAAACAGAAAATGGTGTAGTCTATAGTTTCAAAAAAATAATTTTTTCTATTGGCATAAGTTGGTATTCTTATATATTGATATATATTATATACACTTATATTTATTGAAATAAATAATTTTTATATGGTACTTAAAATATATTTTTATTAAATTGGTTAGAATACTTTATGACTCCAGTTTATATCAATTTTCAATTTAAATTAGAATTAGTTATTAAGTTTGGTTTGTCATTGTCTAAATTTACCATGAATTGATGCTTATAAGTTATACAATTATTAACTTTTTTAATTTTTTTTTTTTTTTATTAGGCATACTTAGATTTAGAACCATTTATGTCTGGTTCACCATATTCACTGGGAATCTCTTTCAACTTAACTTCAGCACCAGTTATGTTTCATCTTGAACATGATCCATCGTTATTTGAAGAAATTGACAAAGGTGTAAATTCTGTTAAAGATGTTGACTATGCTAAAGTAAGATTTGAATTTATTTTCTATAAATGATTATTTATTTGATTGTGTTTTATCGTATTAACATTCAAAATTTTATATTTTATGTTATAATTTTTTCATATTCTAAAAAATAAAAATATGAGTTAAATTCTTTGTATCTATTTAAATTAGTTATGAATAATTTCTTTTAAATTTACTTAAATTTACCAATAATTGATTAACTGTATACTTATATATTTTATTTTTAAATATTGAATTTAATTGTTTTCAGTATATAAAAAAGTTTTACAAGAAAAATATAGCAAATTGATAGAAACATTTAAAAACTGAGTGTAATGGTTCATTTATAATTTTTATTTATTACTAATAATACTTACAAATAAAAAATTTGATCAAATTGCTTTTTAGTAGTTGTATTTAACATTTTATGTATTATTTAAATGTTGTATTTTGTTATAGATACATGGTATTGTAATGAAAGGACCAGGAATTACTTATACCAAACAGCTGCAAAAGGAGCATTCTCAAAAAGCAATGGAAGTGTTGGAAGTGTTTGAAGAAAGTGATGCAAGAACAGCTTTGTCCAACATTATTGTTGCGATGGGAGGCGAATAATGAAGCTTTATGCTTAATATTTAATGTTATTTTTTCTACACCTTTTTAGAAAAAAATATTTAATTTTAAACATTGCTATTGTTGTAACATACAGGGTATTTATTCTGATTAATTTAGTTGAAAATCTTGTGCTATATTATGTCATATTGTCATAGTGTATTAAATTGCTTTGTAATTTAAAATAGTTTCTGTACCAAAAATCATATAGAATTGTTAATTGTTATTTAGAGAAACTTATTTTGTTATCTATTGATGTAAATTGTGCAATTGTTGTATTATATTTTGTAACAATAAAAAATAACAATATTTATATCAAATGTTGTACAGTTAATAATTGATAGCTAAACACATTGAAGGTTGTTATAAATATAATAATAATTAATTAATTAAATTAATTAATTTAAGTTTCAAATTGTTATGACTACAACTGATCGGTAAAATATGTATGCAAACTAATGTTCAAACAATGTGATAAAATCATTGCTGATTAAGTTTGTATGAATTCTTAAAATATAGTTTAGAGGTATATTTATGGATACTTAACAGATTTGATTGAAGCGGTTAAAATTGGAATGAAAAAAACTACACAGAAAATTAGACTTTGATTTGACAGAAACGTTTTGAATTTTTAACTGTGTGTTCAACAAGACATTCAATTTATAGACATTTTTCTTGGTGATTAGGATTAATATTTGTTCCTATAAGCCAAAATCGAGTAAATAATAAATTATAATAACTCTTAATATTTTAAAATATTTTTTTTTATCTTATTACATTTACTAAATATTAAGGTTTTTAGCTGTTCAAATTAAATCTTGTCAATTCTCTATTTTATACTTAGATTTAATCATAGGGGCAGCAGACAAGGGCGGACTGGCCTGGCTTGACACCGGGACAAATCCCGGTGGCCCGTTACAATAATAGATTAAATAGCCTGATAATATTTTAGAAATTAAAAATATAGCATGACGTTATTTTAATTGACAGAATTGGGGAAACTAATGAATTTTTGAAAAAAAACCTAATTATATAAAAAAGGAATTACATAAAGTGTTAATTTTAATATATAGGTATTATATTAAAATGTGTACACTGTATCTATAAAAAAAATATCTTATATATTATGTGTAATTTTATATATCTACATAAAATGTTGAAAATATTTTTTAAATAATAAAGGTTTTTTATCATTATTATTTTTCTTTTGCATGCTTATGACTAAATCGTTGGTCCCCTGTTAATTTTTGGCCTGGCAAAAAAAATTCCGGGTCTGAAATATTAACCCAATCCGTCCCTGGCAGCAGGGAGGCTCTTGCTACCTCTGGATTGTTTAAATAGACTTGTTAGGGCCAAACAGTCCAAGCTGGTCACTGTTTAATATTCAATGAAAAGTAAGTTAGTTATCCAAAAAGTGTATTAAATTACAAAGCTAATCTGTACTGCGTTTAAATAGGTTATAGGTTACAAAAAAACCACAGTCATTACATGTTTCTACAGTATACCAGTCAAGTAAAGGCCGTTTGTATGAAAAAAAAATGAGCAGTAAAAATATTCGCTTTCTCCGACTTAGAACTCTAGCACGTTTATAGATTTAATCCATTTTTGAACTTATTTTTTGATTTTTGACATTATTTATCCTTTTCTCTTGATAATATGTACCTCAGAATTTTAGGAGTTAAGTGTAGGCAATTTTTCGATTATGTCTCATCAGTTGCTGGTTGACTATCTTGATTACCGTTGATATGTAGAGTCAAACTGTACATCCAACACATTTTACGCCTCCTTTACTTACAACTTGTAATCGTTTTTTTTGTTATGGTTATTGTCTGAAATAAGGTTATTTTTTCTTCAATGTAATGGCTTTCTATTCGTTTTTGTTAGACCGACAAATACGCTGACGACACATTAACCATCCATACAAACATCCACCCTCTTAAAACGTTTTCCGAACATTTTTCAATTTCTAACGCTCCCATCTCAATAAAATCCCTCTATTCATTTATGATTTCTTTGTGTGTTTCGTGTTTCAATCAGTATTTATTCGTTAGTCTCGCGATTTGTCATATTATGAACATTGAATTTAAAAGTTCCTGGATTGTACATTTCTGTTATGGTGTCCACGAGACTATGAAATAATGTTTCTATTTTTGTTCTCACGTCGATAACTTTTTCTATGTCAAATTTCATCTCGATTTTGAAAATTCTGTCCAATTCTACTCATTGAATGCATGATAATGGTATTTTTTTATTGGTAATACGTTTTTCTTTGTCATTATTAATATTTGAAAAAAAAAACATTCGTTATTTGAAATTAAACTAAAACAACACACTATTAGAACGACGAAAATGTACGGAAAAAAATATTATGTATATCATTCCCCGAAAAATTTAACTGGTTCATAAAATTATTTATTTCGTTTTTAAGGGTTTTCATATAGGCAATTTCAATGACACAAGAACTTGCGATTATAATATTCGTATACGCCAATGGATATTTCAACCGAAATACTTGTAAACATTTTTTGTATTCGAATGTCCTAATAAATGGTTTATTTAATGACCGAGCAACAAGCCGACAATGGTTTTTTGACATACATCTTGATATTCATAATTATTTTATCATTTCATTCTAGTGTTGTTTATGATGTTTAATTTTGTTATTTATTTATCACTCCGTTTGATTGTCGATATTGGATTTATTTTTGGACGTTTTGTCACATTGTTTTTAATTTATATAAATAAAAATCTATCTGCCATGGGTTACCACAGAAATCCAGTGGTTCTCAAATTAATGTGATCTCACATGCGAGAACTTATCAAACTTATCAGACCTCACAACCATATGGGCTTTCTCTAGAGAGAGTTCTGAAACGTTGAGTCAAACTCACATGTCTTATAAATGTTTTTCAGCACATACTAAGTGAACACACTTTTGAAAATCTCATTTTATACTGATTTTTTCCAGTATGCATTCTCATGTGGCACTTCAGACTCGTTCGGTCTAAAAATGGCATTTGGCAAACGTCGCATTTACTGTTGTCATTTTTGAAGTTATTCATTTGGTGATTGTTCAAATTTTATTTTTGGGTGAACAATTTTTCACATGTTTCACATTTGTAGGATTTTGCTCTGGAATGGCTTAGCTTGTGATGTCTCTAATTAGTCTTATTGATTTCATAAAACTTGTACTTGTACATATTTTGTTTTCAATTGTTAAGTGCAATGTGTTTTTCAAGTTTGAAACTTCAGCAAAAAGCTTATGTATATACCACATCTGTAATGGTTTTACACGACATGGGATCATATTCTATCATTTAAATGTAACATATTTTTCACGGGAATTATTATTTCAATTTATTCTCTTTAAATTAATAATATTCTACACGATTAAGTTTTTTTAGTTATCAAATTTTATTTGTTAACAATGCGATGTTTTGTGAAGCTTTCAAACAACAAAATTAACTGAAACAGAAATGTTAACCAACACATACACGTCCATAGATCCAGAGTTCGGCAAAAACAAATCAAAATAAAGAATAAAAAATAAAAGCATGAATAACTAATTTATTTATGAATAAAGAATGATTTATTCGTTAAAATCATGAATGATATTAATTAAATAATGATATTAAATATAAAAGTATATTTAATTTATTTTTTTTAATTATTATATGTATTAATATGTACTACCTTTATATATATATATATTATTTAAGTCTAAATAATAAGTCTATTATTATTATACATTGTTATTTAGAATTTAAATTTATTATTTATATGATTATAGAGCATAGCGAATGACGAATAATGAATAACGAATAACTGAATAATGAATAAAATATAGTAAATAAAAATCTCCGAATAATAATATAAATTAAAATAATGAATTAAAATAAAAGTCAATAATAAAATTAAGAATAAATCAATGAAGAATAATTTTTTATTCAAATAATCAATCGAATAGTATTTTATTTGACCAATGTCCAACTCTGCATAGATCACATAGTATGACACAAAAGCAGTTATGTGATAACAAATTTATCCTGGCGTCTGGGGAGTAAGGGAGACGTTTTTTATTGTCCTAATCCAATATTGAAACTATAGATACCGATTCCCATTTAAACCAATATATTTTTATATTAAGTAAAATATACAAAATACACCGAATTTTTAAAAGACATATTTTACGAGTATTATATTAAATATGAATTATATTTTACTCTGTTGATCACAGTCATCAATATTGAGTTCGAAAAGTATGTTTTTTTTTTCAAAATAAACGTCGCATAAATGTTTGTTTATTAAAAATATTTCAAAGATTGATCTCAAATAGTTAAGTTATAAAACATACATAATCATTAGATAGGTAATATTTCAACAATATTATAATAAATGGTATAAAATATGAGAGAAAACATACCTGATTGTATGCAATATTACCAATGTATCTCTCCCTCAGCTTTAACATTAAAAATATTAGTGGTTTTAATTTTTTAAAATTTTTTTTAAGCTAACCATTTTTCGATATTACGTTCCGGAATTTACTTTTCAGATTATTATACTCATCCTATTTTTAAATCTAATACAATGGATATATTAACAACATTTAATTATTTGTTGCGTGTTGTAAAATGTCATTACATTACATTAAGTTTCATAGTGTTCATGACTCTAATCCCTTAGGACATATTTGCATGAAGGGGACAAGGCAAATTTCAAGTTAAAAGTGTTTTTTTTATCATGGTTGAAAATTTTATATTTTATTCATGGTAAAATCATTAAATTCTTCGTTTTGTTTGAATTATAAAATATAAACGTCTATGCATCATATTTTAGATTATTCGAATTATGAATGACATTTCATAATTGTTACTAATTATATGTTAGTAAATTATATTGAGTTTATTTAATAGAAGCCATAGTTAAGGTTATTTAGGTTTGAAATTATAACCCAAGGTCAATTTAACTAAATTGAAAATATCTTGAAAATATCAATAAATACATTCTTCTATGAGCATTTATATAGTACAGTTTATTATATATTCATCTATATTAGGAACTACGTCATTAAAATGTGACAATTTATCATCTAATACACAGGATCCAACTGTATCCGGTTATTTACTACCTATTGTATAAAGTCATAAAGGCGTAGTACTTATATATTGCATTATAAATCAGAAAATAAGCGTTTGTGCTCTGTAAGCCAAAAATTACTATACATATTTAACAGTATAAAATACAAAGACATTCTTACGGTTTAGTCAAAATGTAAGAACAAACATAATTTCTGTTTTATCAAGTAAATAATTCATTTGACCAAACTTAATTAAACGAAAACGTTTTTATAGTACCATTGGAGTAGCTATCGAATTTTAAATCAAATTAATTACTTTAAAATATAATCGACTTGAATTATATTATCTACTTATATTTTTATCAAATTATGTATTACCGATTTAAAAGATGACGACTGTGAGTAGTTCTTGTTTTGGCAAAAATAAAATATAAACAAAATAGCTATATGGTTATGTAAATATATGCAAGCTATGGAATCTTAGTCTATATCAGTAGTTTTCAACCTTTTTAACAATGCGGCACATTTCATCTCCAATAAAATTTTCGTGACACACCAATCCATATTTTATATATGTGTATGTGTATGTATACTGTATACAGTCTACTCTATTAGAGTGTTATTTATTGTGAAATATATTAAAAAAATCGATCGATCGAAACGGCTGCGACGGACATACTTACAATAAATAATATTACAATTAGTATATGTATCTACGATTAGTTCGATCAGTTTTCATCTCAAATATCAATAATAAGCTGGCAAATACATACTTATAAAACAATTTATTGATTTATCGCGGCACATTTAAAGGGCGCTCGAGGCATATTGGTAAGCCGTGGCACACCGGTTGAGAACCACTGGTCTATATCATAATATATATTTATATCTATATCTTAATCTATGTCATTTATCAGTATTGTTGGCAAATGGAAATTTTAAATAATCTATACATTTTCAAAACATACCTATTAACGAATAGTACGGGAAAAGATCATTCGAAATGTGTACTACTAAAACGCGAACGTTGTAACATGTATGAATTATTGAAAACGGTAAAAATATATAACCGATAAAATTGATAATTCGAATTCTGTATAATATAGGTATCAAACTAATTTGGGACATGTTTTTCGTTAATGTTGGACTGTCAAAAAACGGTATGAAAAATGCATATACTCGTAGATATCAGTAATATTATTAAGGGAGCGTATATTTGTATATATTAAAAAGGATCATAATAAACTATGTATAAATAATATTTCATGAAATTATACAACTAATAGACAAGAAAAAATGTTTAAATTAGTATGATAAAAAAATGCAACATTTTTATTTTATACATTTATGAGGCATTAAAATAATTTAAAACAAATAAAATAGCTATTATAATTAGTACTTAATGAACAAAAATATAATTTACATACTAGCTGACCTGACAAACGTTGTTTTGTCATATTAATTATTTCTAGAGAATATTTTGCTAGAAAAAAATAACTAATTTAATATAACTGTGTAAGGATGTGGTATATAAGTAGAAGAGGTATGGAGTGCTGTGAACGGTGACGGAATATAAAAATGAAAAACATCAAACATTTATTTTTTTAATAATTTATTAAAATTGATCCTTTAAAATTATATACATCGCTAATTATGACAACATTAGTAAAAAACAATATCAATCCCTTAATGCAACAGAGTGTACAATATTTTTCCGTGTGAAAAACATGATGTGCTCAAATCTAAGCCACAGACAGACATCGTTTGGCCTTGAGACTTATTGATAGTCATTGCAAATGCCAATCTCATTGGAAATTGAAGGCATTGAAATTGTTTTGGCACATCTGTGGGTATAATAGGGATTTGCGGTAATAATATATTTTCACCTCGGAATTTGCCATTTAAAACGATGGCTTCGATAACATATTTCATTAATTTTTTAATGACTAATTGTGTACCGTTGCACAACCGTGGTGGGTCCAAATTATGAAGCAAAATAACCGGAGATACAACCTTTAGTTGTAAATTATGTGGTGGCTTACCTGGTAAATCCATTGAGTTTAAAAACTCTGTTGGATAATTTACAGCTTCAGTAGCATCGCAAACTGTATCAATAGATTTGTATGATACCAAATCTTCTGGTAACAAATGTATCTTGAGATTCAATTCGTTGGCATACAAATTTTTTGCTGCTGAAATTGCTCTTTCTGCGAGCCACTCATGATTTGTGTATTGTCTGTGTACATTGGGAAATATCTGGTCAATGAAAACATCTTGAGAATCAATGATTGTGCAGAATCGGTCGTTAATTTTATGTATTCCGTTTCATCTGTAGTAACTTTCTCATCACTGATATCTAACAATTATTTTGAGAATCTTTCGCACGCAGCCTTTTTTTTGATTGAATCGCAAGTATCGAAATCGTTCGCTCTCTATCTTTACATACATGTCGACCATAAATTGTTGATAAAGCTCACGACATCGTAGAATAACGTTGTTCTGATCGCGTCTAATCATCAATCGATATGCAAATAATCCTTCGAATTAACATTCTTGTTTGTTTTGGTACCTATCGCGGGATCATGTTTAATATTTATGCAATACCCGTCATTTAATACCAAAAATAAATTTAATAGTTTTTTAGTTTTTAAATAGTTTTTAATAGTTTTTTTAATAGTTTCATTTAATATTTTCATTTTCAATTGCGCAGTTATCGACCGGGTCAAAAATTATTAAATTAAACTACGATTTATTAAACAATAGCATTTTTCCAACATTTTTTTTTTCATAAAAACCTTCCCTTAGCAATTTCGAACAATTAAAAAAAAAAATGTAGCCAAATCGGCCAAATCGGCCGTTCTCAATTGATGAAATGTTATTCATTTTTAGCTCCATTTTTATATATATAGATTTATTTGAAATGTATACCTGACGAGATTGTATTTTATTCTTTTTTATGTAAATTTATTTATTTTTTATTTATTTTCGCTTCGAAATGTTATAAATTTAGAATATTCTTGAAAAATACACAGGTACGTAATTAAATATGAAGTTATATGTGAAAAAAATCATTTGGCATAAGTTTTGAACTATAATTACGATTACTGAAAAGATAAATAACAAAAATCCAAAAATATTGTAAGGAAATACTATACGATTGCGTAAAAGTTCGTGCTCTAATTATAATAAACATAGTTTCCGGGACGAAATGTTGGCGAAAAAAAAACAGGGACAACGTGCCGTTTACGTACTCATACGACAAACACATTACGTAATTTATTTACGTTTTATTTTACGATTCGTTCTTGAACCTGTAGTAAAGCATAGAGGTTAAAGAGTTCGGAATATTGTCAAGTTTAAACGGATTGGCCGCTGTCACGAAATAATTGTGTTGTTCAAGTTCATAACCACACGACTAATAATAATGAATCACGTAATAATTAACGTAAACTTAGTTTCTCGCTGTGTGATACTGTATTATAATACGACAAGATGATGTTGTTAACTATTATTATAACTATTGTATTTTGCAAACAATAACATTTAATTTGTACTTGGTCGCACAGCGCTCGGCGATGAGTGACATAATAGTGTTATGACTTTGGATCATTATGCTAATACACGTTTTCGTTTCATGTACACCGACTACCAGAGTTTACCGATTACCGCCGTTTTTTTCGATTTCTAATGATTTCCGATGTGAAATACGGTACTTTGTCCGAAACTTTATTCCGATCGAAGCTTGACATTAACGAGTAAAAGTTAAGCTAAATAAAGTTAATTTAATTTTAAATGTTTAACTTGACTAGTTACTTTTGGATATCCATCGGTTAAACTTTAGTAGTAACTTCGTTGCTTTTCAATTTACGTGAAACCAACAAATTAAATTTTAAAAATTGAAGTTAATTTATTTACTGTTTTCGGTTTTATTTTATTCTATTCTAATCAATTACCTTTTTGTGTCGACAATTATTTTGGTTTACGTTTGACACGAGTAGTTTTAAGTTAAAAATTACTTATTGTGGAAACGAATAAAACAAAATGTTTGACGAAGAACTCGACCGAACATTTTTTCTACGACTATTTCAAAACAATTATCATCTAGTCATCTACCAAAACGAATACAATCAACGCGCGTTGTGTTGGTGTGAAAATGTTGCCAAGACCTTGGGGATCTTGTCGGGGATCCGAGTTCGTGCAATCCAAAAGCACAGAAAAAAACTGTACGGTAAGATGACGCGCGTTCGTCTTTGCTTCACCTCCGGCGAAGTGTACGGGCCAAAACGTTGCCCGTGGCAAACCGCCCGAAAAACCGAACAGGTCCGTGTAACATCGGATTGCGCTACATTGCTAAAGTATTAACGCTTTCGGTCTTCAGCGACGACAGCTGCAGCCGGTACCGCGCGATGATTCGTGTCTGTTTGCTGAACGCGGTACCAACAGCTGTCACGGTCCACACCGAGATGAGGGACTGCGAAAGGGTCACGATGAAAGCAACGGGGCCGACGATCAACTTTCTTTCTCACTCCCTTACACGCACGCACAAACGCACGTTTCATCTTTTTCTCACTCTCTCTCTGTCGAACACACGCACACGCACACGTGCACACCCGCTCACGTTGTGTGACTACGGCGCAAGCGCAGAACGTCGCCCGCGTAATGATCATAAATATTATCAGCGAGGAGGAGTGCGCGCGCCGCGAGATTGTAATTATTACGACACGTTCGACCCGCCCGAACGGCAGGGTCATGTGCGGATGATGCTGCGCGGACGACCACTAAAGCCGCGGAGAACAGTATTAACAGTTCGTACAACGCGCGGCAACGGAATTACAATTTATTTTGTCGTCCAGTGCGGTGTAGTCGCAAATTCGTCATAACGTTATTATTTTAACTATATAATCTTTATCGTACGCGGTGAAAACAGCACGTTCGAGTGCGCCGACCGTATCGGTACAGCTTGTACCGGCGCGTTATCGCCCGGCCCGTGCTCAGAGTCCGCAGCTGGCGCACGCGCGTGGGCACGGAGCGCGTGTACGCATTTAGACGGCCGCGACCGCTGCGCCCGCGTGTAAAAATAAACGACAACGGCGGGCGTGCCGCGTCCAGACCTCGGGACTCCTCGGCCGCTCCTGCCTCCTACTCCGCTACGACGACACAATACGATCGCTGGCCGCGCGTCGCTGTGTTCCGACGACTCGCTGCCGATTCTCGGTGCGAACCCAGTACGGTAAACCGCGACTGCCGAACGACGTCGTCATCGCCCCTACTCCCCCCATTGACGTGTTCCGTTCGTTGTGCGCGCGATAACGTACTCGAACAGCGATAATGGTCCTATGTTGTAAGCCATCGTGTTTTGTGAGTCCATCATGAACGCGTTTCGTTCCACGGACCGACGCGGTACCATCGGGCAGCCGTTACGGTGCACTGCCGTCGTTGTCCGCTCGTAACGGTACCGAACCCTTTGCATCGGCCCTGTAGAGCAATGGATTGTCGCCGGGTCGCCGATGTCGTGGGCGCGTTCCGGTCGCCTCCATCAGGTTCGCGACAACTGCAGCAACAACAACCACATCAACTGTCACTGCACCGTCGATGCAGGTTATACGATTCCGGCGACGAATACATCATCAACAACAACAACAACAACAACAACAACGACAGCAAAAAGAACAGCAGTTGCAACAACAAAGTGTCCGGGACGAGCTTCAATAACAATATCGTAACGGCTACCACCACGTCACTCATCGACGAGCTGGAACAGTTGCGCACGGACAACTTTCAGCTGCGGTTGCGCGTGTACAACGCCGAACGACGCGTGGACCGACTGTCCGTGACGGCGCACGAACGGGACCGACACGAGCGCATCTGCGACAGCGAAACGAATACCGACTGCAGCAGTAGCAGCAGCAGCGCCGGCGACGGCGTGGCCGTATCCGAATCTCAAACTGCCACAGCGGCCACGGCGACGGCCGCGGCGGCCGTGCGCACCATCCACGATTTGTTGACCGTCAACCGACGGCTTCTGGCGCTACTGGCGGCCACGGTGTCGGCCAAAGCGGTGGCCGTGTCGGCCGACGATAAGCGACGCTGGCGACGACTGCGGAACCACATCGAAAACTACGCCACGAGCGATCAGGTACGGTGGAAGATTTCGTTTACGGTCGGGAGTTAAATACGTGTCCGGAAATTTCGGATCTTGAACGATTTCGATATTTTCCGAGTCACCGAATTCGTTTAAAACGGTTTTCGAATACACAATTTTACTTCCTAGCTTATAGTTTCAATAATAATAATAATACTATCGTTGTGCTCATGACTCGTTTAACTGTGCAGGGAGAGGAAGACGGAGAAGAGGAGAGGCGACTAGACGACAATTCGGACACGTCGACGACGGACTCGGAGACGTGTACGGCCAGAGAACAGTCGCAGAGAGCGTCGGCGGAACAATCGACCACGAGGTCCGGGTCGCGACTGCTCGCCACACGTTCGCCACCGCCGCCCGAACCGGACAGACACCCTGCACCGGAAGACGACAGCGCCGGAAGCGAGTTGTCTCGGTTGCGGGCCCGGTGCCGCCGTCTGGAACGGTCGCTCCAGCAGCTGGTCAACACGGAGCTGTGGGCCCGGAACAGGCAGATCAGCAAGCTCGAGCAGCAGCGATATGTGACGCAGGTGGCCCGCGACGCCGTGGTGCAAAGGGACAGTGGTCGACCTGCGGTGGTTGCTGAGACTGTCACCCAGCAGCAACAGTCCGCTAGCCCTGCCACGACCACCAAAGGAATCCTGGTGTTGCGATCGCCCGAAAAGACAACGGCCGCTACGGCTATCACGACGCCGCCGCCCGTGTTACCGGACTACTCGGAAGTGAATTTCTTCTTCAGCTGCGATGAGGAAGAAGACGATAACCAAGGAAACTCGGAGACCAACACGCTATCATCGGCGTCCATGGACGAGGACACCGAATCAGACGACGTGCGGCCGCGGGCACAGCCGCCAATACGATCGACCGGCAGCGCGCCGGTCGACCAACCGCGAAAACGTCAGTGCCGGCCACATCACCGACCGCAGCAGCAACAGCATCAAGGCGCCAACGTCATCGAAACGGCTACGACCACGTTGTCGTCGTCATCGTCTGTGGATCGCGATGCTGCAGTAGCGAACGGACCGACGAGCGACTTAAGTGACGTTGGCTGCGCGTCGCCGCCGACACCGTCTTCCCGACCTCAACGGCATCGGACTTTTAGCGGTAACGGTCGGCAGCGGCCACGCCGTCGGTACAGGCCGCGCCGGTGCTTGGGTTGCGCGCGTCGCGGTGCACACGACGGCCGTCCGGTTCCGGCCGCTCAGATAGCTGTGGCCGACGCGCAAGTGCAATGCGACGGTGACGACGAAAGTGTTACGACGGACGGCCGCGACGACGATCGCAAGACGCTAGCGCAGTTACGACGCGAGTTGGACGCGCGGCGCCGCGAAAACTGTCGGCTGTACGACATGCTGTTGCGCAGGCGGAAAGGTCGGGACGGCCCGAAAGCTTCGTTCCTCGGCGACGACGACGACGACGACGCGGCCACGGACTCGAACGTGGACGAAGAGGACGGTTCGCCGGAGCCGTACCGACGAGCGGCACGAGAGGTACGCGGCCGCATCGCGGACCTATTGCCGCCGCTGTTGTCCATGCGGTCCACGGTGGACGAACCGGGCGGACGGCCACAACAAGACGACGGCGACGGCGGAACGAAACGGCTGCGGCAGATAGACGATCGGCAAGCAACGACGCTCGCTCGACTCCGGGAACGCATAGCAGCGTACGAACGGGAAGAGCTGCTCGGCGGCGGCGACCGAGTCCCGCTAGGGCCGCAAACGCCTGCCGATCCGGAAGACGATGTTCTGCACATGGACAGGGCCGCGCTGGTCAACGTGGCGCTCCCGAGGGCTGTGGACCGGCTCCGGCGCGCGATCTTGCAGCGGTTGCCCGGGGAACTGCAGCAGCAGCAACCGACCGGACAGGAAAATCCGACAGCGACGGAACAGTCGGACGACCATTGCCGCGTCCACCGATGACGTGCGTTGTTGAGACGTCCTCATCCTCGTACGGAATCCACGCGATTTCGCTCGCTTTTAAGATTTTATATTTTTTTTAAATTTTTTATTTATTTTCATTTTTTTATACTAACCGTACCGTTTGAATTTTATTTATAAAGACATTTTTATACGTCCCGATAACACAATGTACTATAATATATACGAGAGTACTATTCCTATACGATCACGTGGTCTCGTACCATGCTCGTCTCCGCTGCATCCGTGTGCCTAAACGGAGAAAAATGTTTTTTTTCTTTTTACTAAATATTTTGTTTTGTTTTTTTTCAATTAATTTTTATCCTAGATTTGTACCGATCGACGATCGCCTCGACTTTATCAATTTTACTTTATATGATAAAACGCTTGTGTTGTTTAGATATTTTATTAAATGGACTGTGCCTAAACAATTTTACTTGAAGTATACTTGCTTTTTTTTTTTTTTTTGTGAACTACGCAACACTAACTATAATTGTAAAAATCAGTTACAACGTTCAAGTCTGCTGTCGTTTCCTATACTACCGTATACGTAAACTGTACTCATTAATATTATGACTGTGGGCATTGATACTGAATTGTTTATGTATTATTTATTCGTATGACTTAACAAATCAACGTTACAGCAAATATAATTATTTTTCATGATGAAAAAACAAAAAATGAAACAATAACATAAAATATAAATCACAAAACAGAAATTATGTTGATGTGTTTACATTACGATATGGGTGAGACAAATATAATATATTATGTTTTAATGATTCAACGTTTCGTTCTGATACGAGTAACTATTATTCGAATATGACAAATTTTATTATACGAATATTTTCATTATACGAATATACGCATATTATAATATACGTGACTGATGACCAGGGCCGCATTTAGGGGGGAGGGGCACTGGCTACAACTGCCCCGGGCACCAGTTTATTGGGGGTACAAACATTTTGTGGTCGGAAATTTGCTCACTTGTGAATTATTGAACTTATAGAATTATTTTGAAATTATTATTTTTTTTGTTTTTAATAACAGTATCATAAATTAATGTTAATGTATTATGTTGTTTGGAATTTAAACAACTATGAACTAATGTATTTATAGCAATATAGCTATCAGCGGTTGAGAATATTATTAATATACCTAATATTAGTTCCCAAATTTATTGTGATAATATCAATAAACATAAGTTATTTATAATAATACGGCGTAGGTACCTATTATGGTATTGAGTGTGGCGTGCGGTAGCGTGCTGGTTACACAAAAATAGCATTGATTTTAGAATATCTAAAAGTTCATAAGGATCTATCTCCTATATTTTCCGTGGGTAGGCCCCTTAGAGGGGCGCCAATTTTTTTTTGCGCCAAGACACAAAATGTCTAAATGCGACACTGCTGATGACTTTAATTTTTAGATTATCTACATCACTGTTTGCTATAATATATTTAACGTTCCATATTTCACATAAAACGAACGGTTATCGATTTAAGACTTGAAAAGAAATCGAGTGCGTATCCTATTGCGACGAACAAATCGTAAAGTAAAACAGTATAATATGGGAAATGTATTCCTCTGTCGACGGCCATTAATACCAAATATTGTTTACATTAGATAATATGACGCGTGAAATGTAAATATTTGAAGTTAATCGTATAACATAACATATTGAAAATTACATTGGAGCAACAAAAAAAAAAAAAAACTTGCGGAATAAAACCCGAAAAATCCCGTCGAAATATACATGACACCATTGATTAAATATACAATAATTTATATTTAATCAATGATAATACTTTTCATGAAAATATCCGGTCATAACCATATTTTTGTTTATAAGCAATTTGAATACTATTCAAATGCGCCACGGAGCAGTGAAGGTGGCAGCCAACAGTCGAGAGCATATTATAATATTGCTTAAGTACAAACAGTTTTTCTTCCGTACAACATTTTGGCACCAACCAATGGTTTGCGGTGGTTGTGAATATTATGATAATCATCTGACCGCACTATGACGAATGGTGTTTTCGCGTTTTAGTCTTTTGACGAAAACGATGGATTTGGCACTGTTCGTTTCTATTGTGCATTAACATACGAACGGGATCGACATAGTTTGTTGTATTAAGGATGAACATGAAATTCGAAGATCTGAATTTTCCAAATATCTGAATACTCGAATCCGGATTTGAATATAACTCTTATTAGGATTCGTCGAAGTACAACGTATACAAAAGCACAGTGATTCAATAATGGGTTTAGGGTTTTGTTATGGGAAGAGTCCAATATTTTTTAAAAATTATTTAATAAGTACATATTGATAACATTCTTTTTCCGAATATTTTTTTAAATCGTGTAAAGCATCTTTAAATATGAGGCGCATAGAGCCAGAACGGCCTAACCCACAAAAAAATTTATTTACTAAATAGCAGCACATATTTGTATTATTTGTATTTGGATTTGTGATTATGATACATAATTGTAGAACCAAAATGGCCCAGCCTTATGCTAGTAATATGCCTATGCTTAATAAGAAAAAAAAAGATGAAAAACTGTCAAAACTTGAAATGCCCGTCCTGCACAATTACACTATTGTGGGTTAGACTGTTCTAGTTCTATGCGCCTCATATTTGATTGAAAAATTTCTTTAAAGCTCTGTCTTCTAGTATCAACCACTTTAGGTCTAAAGTTACACATAAGTTATAAGTCACAACTTAAAATTACTAAATCAGGGTTTAGTTAATTTATCCGAGGATTTTAGGCTATTGAAGGAAGGCACCATCCCTCTGCTGTGACGATACCGAAGCCATTTGTATCCGTCCGTACGTTTTAACTTCCATAAGGCATGGTTAACTGGTACCTGTATTGTGATTTGTAGTGTACCTAATATTCACAATAATGTGTGCACGAGAACACTAGAAGTGGAAGCACGGGTTAAAAGGTTAAGTGTATTGCAACACCGTTATGGTTGGTGTACATAGTATTATATTATACATGCTACGTTCGACCTCTTCATACTCGTTTCCGATGTCTGTTTCGCCATAATGGTTCAATTACCGTCTATGTCCACACTTGATGCCCAACAACGTAGTGAAACACTGCTAGTAACTATCAAAGAACGCATGAATTATTGTTGCAAAAATATTATTGTTGAGTTTTTTTTTTTCATAATCGTGTTTGCCATGCAAAAGTGTACTACTGCAACTCAAAACAACGCACATGATAGTTTAGTGAAATTACAGAATTGAAACGACTTGATCAGGTCAATTTCTGGTTATACAGAATATATAATAGTATCAATATAGATTAAATACATAAAAATAATAGGTATCGAATATCGGTACAATTTAGTATGGATTAAGATTTCTGGTGGAAGGAAACTTGATTTGTTAATATTATAAAGTTACGTGAACTTTGTTTTAGCTACCTATTTGAATAGGAGTTCACTTGTTTTTGCTGCATTTTTTATTTGTAAACTATAGGTTTTCACTTATTTTTTTCCTATTTTAATATGAATAATCTAAGTGCTAGGTATATAGTCAAATATTTTAATCATTAGCGGACTGACATGAGTTGCTTTTCTATATTTATATTTTTTTAGAAGAAAAATTAATTATAATCTAGAACCTGATCATGCAATATAGCCTACAGGTACGATCATAGGGCACAAACATATACAACTATAGTCTGTGTTTTCAAACTGTACGGTTTGTGTTGGACCACAGTAAAGCTTGACAATTTTATGGGTGATCTAGTTAAAAATAAAATCATCAATGTTTATGTTGAATTAAAGCGTTTTTATTCTACGATTCATAATGGCAAGCAGTTTTTAATGTTCAAGTAACTTACAATTAGCCTTGGCTTGTCATTCAATATTTTTCAGACGATACTAATCAACTACTCGAGTGTTATTATTCCTGTGAAAATGTTCCGAACCGATATATTTTCTCTATCTATATCAAATGTATGTGTTGATATATTTTTGATTATTATGTAACTAAATATATTTTAGGACTTCATACTGTGCTGAACCGTCATTATTTGCATCCAAACAAAGGACAGCCATGGCTAATTACCTATCATAAGTTGATAAAATTATTCGACGTTTTCAAATTATTGAAGTTTGTTCGCTTAGCGTTTGTTAGCTAATTATACATATATTTCCAGTTTGTAACGACCCATAACAGACATTGCTGCACGTACACAGTAGCATAATCGAGAATACGAATGATATCCAATATAAACCAGTGTATCATGTCTAAATATAGCTATATACCTATAATTTAAATATTGTGATACCGCAAGAACGGAATGGGTCGAAGAAAAAAAACTAAGTAAATACATAATAGTTGAATATAATTTTAAATGATTGCTAATTTAATATCAAAATTACCTAAACACTAATGTGCTTAGTTGTAATTATAAAATGCATTGTAAAATTGTTGTTTGCTATTGAAAATAAATAAAATTTCAATTTCTGTTTTATTAAAAGTTCCTAATTAAAATACTTTATCGACGTAAAAATATATTAGTTTAAATTAAATTAAGTTAAAAATTTAAGATAAATTTGTGTGTTGTGGGATATTCATCTCCTTGGTGTTGTAGCACACCCAGCGTTGTAACCAGCGTTGTAGAGCTAGATGCGCTTCTCATAATAGTACTAAGTATTAATAACTGTAGAATTTATCTAGTTTTATTGCGCAACATTCATTATAAAATTATTAGTTACGACTTGTACTGCGAACGACGTAACATTTATGTTTACAGTGTTTATGTGGGCGATAAAAGTTGACGGACGTTGACTTATTATTTTTGACGAAACCTAGAATGAAAAAAAAGTGATTAGCCCATGCGTGTCTGAGAATCCTCATAAACTGGTGCCACTGATAAAAATAACTATTTACTACCCCAGTGCTTCCCACGACTCACGGCGCCCTTCTTGAAGTAAGGTTTTTTAAGGGCGCCCTTCTCCAAGTCATAACATGACTAATCGTAAGGAACTAATTTATTTTTAAACCAGATATTATTTCATAGCGGCGTGGCGTCCCTGTACAAACACCACGGCGCACACTTTGGGAATCACTGTACTACCCACTTAAGACTATGTAATTTGACATTTCTTAGCTGATAAACGAAGGGGACTTCGTCAAGAGCACGTCGGGGAATCCTGTTTCCGCCCTCACTTGTTTAGGATCTTGGGAAGACATTTTGAATCGTGTCACCGACTTCACTGTCGTACACACGTGTGCATTTTTATCACATTATCCGTTATCACTCAGCACCGGTTTAAAATCATAATAATATTATGACATTATATTAGAATGTCATAATTTTGTACATATTACTTCTGTTGGTTTTCATTTGTCCGGTTGATTTATTCCGTGGCCTTAGAATAGAATCATGAGGTCAATTTGGTCGTGTATTTTTAATCTTTTAATTTAACTGATCACAAATTTAGAGTTTTCTTCATGACGAGAGGAATTGAAGTTATTTGTCAATAGGTGTTGTTATGAGAATTGCTTTTTTCCAGCAGAACATAATATTACGATGGTTAATATTTTTATCCGTTGTTTTTGGTATGGGCGTTTTTATTTATATATTTTAAGTATGTTTTGTTTCAGAATAAATTTATAAGATTGGTTGGATGGCATCGATTAGCTGTAGCAATAGTATACTGTCGAACAACTGCGGGCAATGAATCTGATAATATTGTTCAGCAACCAATTGTGGTGGAACTGAAACAAACACCTGAACAGTTCACTCACAAGTTTCTGTTGCAACAAACATGCACTCTATCTGTTAATGTTTCTTGCCAGATGATTACAATAGCATTAGTTGCACTATCGGATGCATCACAAAAATATAAGTATGAGATTATTATTTCTTTCACTTATATAATGCAATACTTTATTAACTATACTATGTTTCTTCCATGTAAGAGATGAATTGTTAAAGATTATGGCTGTTATAGAAAATAGTGAATGGTCTGATGATGATAAATTAGACAATTTTTTAATGGAATCTCGATATGATATAACCAACGCTAAAACGTTTTATTTGGTTAGTATATTGTACATTATTAATAGGGTCGGCGATAGAGTAGTTGATGTTTTGGGCGAATAAACAATTATGCTCTTACACGTACACATTTAAATATTGGCATTTTCATTTTAAATAATTATTTAAGTACTATACATTTTATTTTGAAGGATAGTAATCATACATCAATTATGTAAATTTAGTATTTTTAAGGAATTTTTGCATAAATAAAAAATGCTTTGTTTAATAATCAGAACTTTTTTTGCCTTTAATTTTAGCAAATTATTTTATATTCTTTCAAAATATAGTGCCTGAGCTATCATATTTTAAATTGAAAAATTTGCTGTACTTTTTTGTTTCCTAATGTTGAACTATAGTATGATTTAATAATTTTAATTTTGAAAAACTCTCGTGACTGGTAACAGTATTACTAGAATTAAAAATTTTAAATTGTAAATAATGATGGGTTACAATGATTGAATAGATGTACTTCCAACGCCAAATTATATTGAGTTAAGTATTAGGTAATATTTAATTCAACATTATTTGGTAATATGATTAAAAACTTTAGTCAAGCAAAATTTCTCTTGGTTATATATTTGTTGATTTAGAATAATCTATACAATTTAGATTAAAGTATGATTAAATAATTTTACATTTAAATTATATTATCATCAAATGGTAACCATTTTGTGAAACATATGTATATATTAAGTAAACACTAAATTTCCTGATTTATTATCATATTTGAAAAAAAATTATTTTTTAATAATAATCTTACTTTAAATTATAATATTACCTAGGTGCCTGGTCGTTTGGGCACAAGCCCTGGTTGCCTACTCATAATGCTGGCCCTTATTAAATATTATTATTATCTTAAACTCTATTTATTATCTTGTATAGGATTCAATAAGTGCTTTGGATTCTGCCCTACAATTAGGGCAATCATCTGTAAAAATGTCATTTACTGTATCAGCAACAACTGTATTCAATAGTATGTCTGAAAGGATTTACACTGCTGAAAAAGAAGTAAATTGTTATGTACAATTTTTGCTATAAAAAATTGCAATTAAATATTCATATTTTTTACTGTTAGTTTCAGAATTGTGTTGAAGATATAACTAAAACAGAAAAAGAATTCACAAAATTGTTAGCAGAAATTATAAAAAAAACTAATGTTAAAAATAATAATACATAAAACAAAAAATAAAATATTTATTGTTGAACATTCAAATATACAATATATATAGTTTGTCTTAAAATCAATCACTTATTGAAGATTCATTGCTTAAATCATTAGATTCAAATGATGAATATTTTTTAATATCTGACTGTTTTAATAATTTTGATTTGTAATTGTTTTCATAGTCATAGTTATCTTCGCTTACTTGATTTAATTTTGCTAAAAGTAAATCTTTTTGAGTTCTAGACATAGACAATGTTTCTGTTATTTGGCAATGTTTATTAGATATTTCTTCATTGTTATTTTCCAAATCATTACTTGGTATATTTGATAACTCTGATTTTTTTTCCTAACATTTAATTAATTGATAACATTAATTGTTTTAATATTTAATGTAAGAGTATTTTATAAATACTTACGTTTGATAATTTGGTTGAACCCCGATTCAACCATGTTCCACTACTGGACATATTTAATGAATATGGTTTATCATTTATCAATGTACTTGGTATTGTTTTGTTTGTATTAATTTTTATCTGCCTAATTGAGTTTTTTTGAACATCTTTGATTGAATAAACATCTTCATTTTCTTTATGTAATGATTCTGGTTTAAGAGATATTGACTTATTAGTTTTGTTAAAAGATTCATCAATTCCATCATCTTGTTCGTGTATTGTTGATACAGGTTTGGCAACACTATTTAATTTATAAATATGTTAAGTTTAAAAAAAGAGTTACTAAGTTTACTTACCGAGGTGTTATGGTTATTGAACTTGCAGTTATTCCTTTACTAAAAATCTGTCTTGCAGTAGAATTTTTATTATTTAATTTACCTAAATGTGGTTCCAGATTTTGGACCTCATTATTCAAACGTTTTATTTCAAGTTGCAATTCTTTAATTTTAATATTTTTTGAATTCATGTGATGTCTATGTGTTTTATTTTGAAGTTCTAATTGTTTCATTAAGTTCTATAAAGTACAATTTATTATAATGTATTAAAATAACAAAAAAAATATAAATATTATAATAAAAATAACAAAATAAACTTTTACCTGAATTTTATTATCTTGTTGTTTAATTGTATGTTGTGCTTCTTCTAGTTGGTCAGAGAGTTTCTCCCTTTTACTAAGATCTTTATTCTTGGATAAATTTAACAGATGTTTATATTGTTTCTGTAAAACTAGGAATTCTGTGCTCTGTGATTTATATCTGTTTTCTATTTCTTTGTATGAAATTTTCATTTGACGTATTCGACTTTGTAATATGCGAATGTCGTCTTCATAAGATTTAATCACTTGTGGTAATTTGGCTTGTTTACCTTCGTACATAGATAATGCATTTTCATGTCTTTTTTCTAAGGTCTTTAATAAACGATTTTCTGTTATAATATCCTAAATAAATATAATATATGTTTAATAAAATTAAAAATGAAGTTTACATTTATTAACTTACATGTATTTTCATGCGAGCTTCAACAAGCTTGTTTTCTAATTGTTTGAGCCTAAAAGTATGCTCATCGTTGAGTACATTATTTAAATTTGATGTTTTTGAATGGGTTCCAGGGTGATTAGTATATGTTGTTTGATATGGTGAATTGGTTATGCCTAAAAAACAATAAAATAAATTTAAATTTAAATAAATATTGCAGTCAACCTACATTGTCGTCGCCTGGTGGCTGATAATGTGTGAACACGAATTGGTTTTAAAACTTTTTTCTTGCGCTGTTGGTTTGGAGTACTGTTAACCTTTTTGTTATCAAACACAGGCAATTCCATCATGTACTGGCCAATAATCTCTCTAAATAATCATTAATCCAATAATTTATGGATAAATGTATGTAATAAATGCATTACTATTACCCAGAATATGAATAGTCATTGTTAGAATGCAAAATTAATTCTTTCTGCAGTTCTTGCGTCATTGGATGGTCATTAAAAAATATATTTACATGCTAATATTTTATTAAATTATAATATAAAATAAAATATACATAAGGAATCATATATAATTAAACTAAAGTTTTCCTGTAAATGTTTTAATAGAAAAATATTACTGTTAAACTTTACTTGTTCAAAAACAAAATGTTAGTATCTGGCACATTATTATTGATTTTTTTCACCCATGGCAACTGAAACAATAATTTATAATATTCACCTAATTCAGTATACTAAGTGAGTTAATACCTACATTTAAGTTATTTCATAATAATTTGTCTTGATTAGTTATTACTGATTAAATATTCAAATTTGTAATACATTTTAAGTAAACTATTTAAATTAATTAAACCTACTTATTTTTTTTAATTAGAGATTTATACATTGATAAAATTGTTTCTGTTATGATATAAATATAATATAATTTTTAATTGTAAACTAATATTATATTGAAGATATTAAAAAAGTAATTAAAAAAAAAAAAAAAAACACTTTGGGTACTAACAGCCTACTAGGGCTGTTATGTATATAAAAATGGTCTAGTCGACATGAAAGTCAAGTAATTTTTTTTTTTTTTTACATAAATATAATATGTCTGATGATAAATAACTAATAAAAATATAATATTAAATACTTATCAATTGATTTTTAATAAAATATATATGACATGAAATTATACAATTTTATAATTTATTTACTTTTCATTTATTGAGGAAATGTTTTTTTTTTTCATTTAAATTTGAGGGTCTTTTATGTATACTCATAAAAATTTAAATTATTTAATGATACATACATATATAGCTCATTTAAACATTTTTAATTTTGTGTCAAGATTAAATGTTATGAATAAAACAGAGGATATTATTCGTTATACTTCTATTGTACTTAATAGTGTTAAATTTATTTTAGAAAATAACTTTCGAGTTCCCTGGACCGATTTTTGCCCCTTACTAAAATCTCATATTTCTAATTTATGGCACAACCAATGGAACAATCTAGCACCCAATTATGCCCCTTGGTACAAAAATATCTCACCGTCTATACCTTCTCATCCTTGGTTTCACAACCTCAAATTAAATCGTAACATGATTACTTCTTTTTCACGCTTAAGATTTGGACACACTCTACTACCTTCACACTCTTATAAACTTTCTCTCAATGATTCCCCTTTATGCATGCTACACGCTCATGATCCCATGATTTGCGATATCTCACACATACTTTATCATTGTCCCTTACTGGTTCCCCAACGCAATAGCCTCTTCGCCCTAATCCACTCTTTTAATGTCCCTCTCGACACCCAATCCATCCTCTCTTCACCAATTATACCAATTATTACCTCACTTATATTCTTCTTCAACTAGGCTGGCTTAAAAATTTAATTTATTTGTAATATATTTTCTGTCATTAATTTTATATACCTTTATGTAATATTTTTGTAAACATAATTGTCGAAACTAATTGTTAACAAAGTTTCCTTTTAATAAAAAAAAAAAAAAAAACTTTCGAGTTAGGTAACATTAAATAATTTAAAATGTATTTATTTATAGTTGCTCGAAAGTCTATTTATTAACTATAGCGTAGGCTGCTTTCTGAAATATATTTCAATTATCATGTTTATACATGTTAAAAGTACCTACATTCCCATAGTGCATTTTGAGTTTTTAAATTCATTTTTTTCATTAACTCTATTAATTATATTAATCTTATAATATGGGGTTCTGTAATTATTAAAATACTAAAATTTCACTTAGCTATAATAGTATTAATTAATTTTAAGACATGAACGTAATTAGTAAGAAATATAAGCTTCATTAATACTGCTTTATTTAAATTAAAAAGCCATAGGTCACTTTTATATCTTAGAATTTTATGAAATGTATATATTTAATTCCTTATGTTGTATAAAATTAAATAGTCATGAACAAATATGGAAGTATCAAATATGTTAAGAAAATTACTAGATTTGTAATTTTTTTTGTTTACAAATAATCATTGATTATTTTGTTTTGTATAATGAAAGATAAAACTATAATATAAGGAATTAGAGTAAATGATAAAAAACCATTAAAGCACTTAACAGCTTAAAAGATCAATCAACAGAATACACATCATCTAGACTAATCGACAAAAATAGAGAGAGGATCTAATAAGTGAGAATAAATCTAAATTACATAGATATTTTATTCTTATCCTACCAATCCTACTTATAGGCAGTTAATATTTGATGAAAATAAAAAAAATTAATGAAAAATATTTAATAATTTGAATAAGAGACCAGTTAGTTGCACATGGTACAATATGAGACCATCACAGATTATAATTTTATATGATGAACATTTAGTATGAAAATAAGGTAATAGAACACAAGGACATTTTGGTTAATTAAAACTAATAGGGTTTAAAAAAAAATATTGTTTCTGATCTATTAAATAGATAGTTTCAAGAATGTTAGCACAATAAATTAATTGATATTGTTATATGACAACAGTCGGTTTTGATGTTAGGACACATTTAACTCTCTTATCTAGAAAATCACACATTAGAATACCATTATTTGAAAAATATTTTTGTAATTTAATTTTACTTTTATACTCAATAAAAGTTTTTTTTTTTAGTCACATTAAAAACTGAATTCAATATTTTATACATTTTAAAACTTGTATATTTATGTATTTTTCATAGCATTGTTGATAAATTCAAGTTTACAACTAGTTAAAATATTTTATTACTGTTAATTGCTTTAGAAATAATGATGTTTGACAAACAGAATTCTATTATCTATAATTATTTAATACGTAAATTATAGATTTATAACAAAAAAAAAAATCTATTCGTCATTGGCGAAATCAGCAGGGTTTTTCCTTAAACTATGATGATGTTCAGTAACGGCCCAATCGTAAACAAGATATCCAATAATCATTGGTGGAACAATGAATGGTACATTGGAAAGCGTCCGTTTGATGGAATTGGGTACTCCATGGGATATGATTCCATGGAATGCTTTCTGCTCAAATGGAGATAATTTGGTGGTAATAACACCACGAATATCAGATTTCAAATTACCTAATTCACCACCCATTTCCTAAATAAAAAAAAATATATATTAATTAAGATATATTCATATCGATTATTATATTAATAACTTTAACCTGTGTAGTAGGAGTATTTAATTAATTCAATACCAAAATAATTTTTTACTTAAAAACACTAGACTTTAGGTAACAGTGATTATATACTTTTGTTGACATTTGATAAATATTTTGTAAGTTAATTTAAATTAATTTATAAACTGACAAAAATGATCTCGAATGTGGAAGCAAAATATATAAAAATGTCAATATGTTCTAGTATTAGATATATGTTTCAAACTGTACTTTTATAATGTTGGTTATGATCTACTCTCATATCGGTTTAAAGTTAAACCAAATTTCCTATGGATTTTAAAATAATTGAAACGTGGAATGGGCGCGTGATACGTAAGAAAATAAAAGCTTAGAAATTTTAAAGAAATTCGAAAAGCGATTGGACAGATACGTTTTTTGGGCGGTCGGATCAATGACTTAGTGAGCTGGAAGAAAGAGCATTCACCGTTGTAAGCGATTTCTAGTAGACATAAAATACTCTATACTTACGGAACTTTTCGTGCGCAGTAAGCTAGTGAAAACTCGGAACGAAGGTCGATCGCAGTAGCACTTTAAGACGTTTGATGGAGGACGAAAATTTTTTTCGTGATATCAATAGCGAACGGACGGTATCGCGCGGACGGGTCAGCTGTTTTCGGGTGGCGATGATCACGTTTTTTTCGGGTCGTGGTCACACTGATGCTCGGGGTCGTTTATCACTGCAGCAGAGGTGATCATTATCACAGTACACGGTCGGGTGGCGGGAACGCGGGTACCCGACGACGCGCCGTCGACTGTGGCGGCGACGGCGGTACCGACTGCAGTTCACACGGTTCAATCGGACCGTACGTTCTACGGTCGTCATGGCTGCCAATGCGGCGTATCTGGTCGTTCGCGCTCGCATTATTTTCGGCTTCGCACAGCATCGCCGGGACGTGACTGGCGGCGGGATCACGAGAATATGCCGGACGTTCGACGTAAGTGCTCAGAGAAATAAAATCGAAAAGAATATTTAGAGAAAAAAAAAAATAATAAAACAAATAAACAAAACCAGCTGCTGCCGCGCGCAGATGTACAAGTTTTCCGTTGTTTTCTGTTCGGTTGTACACGTCAGGAGGCTCTCCGTTCGACGGTGGCGGTCACTCCGATGTTATACCTAAATGACCACGTTACGTTCGTATCGTTTGGCGATCCTATCAAGTGTAAAAAAACGGTAGACTTTTGTCGTGGACGGTATTGGTGTATCGTGCGTGTACGCTCACCGACAAGATGAACCGATGAAATCACCGTCCTCGACCGACTACCTGTCTCGTCTCGGCCTCCGATCGTTTCAAAGGTGTCTGTTCTTACCGCGGTGTCATTTGTTTTACCTACCTGCGTATCGAACGTCGCCGTGGGTATCGGTCGAGCGTGGACCGCGGGGTCATCATGCGTTTACCTTGTTTTTTTTCGTTACCGTCGGAATTAAAAATAAACAAATCGTGATGCCCGACTCCGAATGCGTCATCCTCCCGCCGACTTCCAAGGCAATAACGCCGATGAATAATTAAAAGTTCGTGGGTACCGTCCGCGGCGAACAATGCGTGTTTCGTCGCCGTCTCACGGGGAAACCGTTGATAATGTAATATACACTTCGACGAACCCGTCCTCTTCGGATACCCTGGCTTCCGCGTGTGTGTTATTGAGTCTCTTCTCTTCCCTGCATGTGTACACTTACCATACAAAAATCGTTTGCAGAGCCGTCTTAAGGATTTTTAAGACCGGGAACAAATTCATTTGGGGGCTCCTTAATTATCACGAGTATGATAAAAAAAACACACCAATTTTGCAAAATGTTGGTAAATATAGTTTGCCTATCCAATTAAGGTTATTTAAGTGCATCGATACACCGAATTACATTTTTAATAACTTCTTAACAATGCATTACCAGTTACTACATTTAATAGCGATTTTATGTGTTCTTAGATAATTTATAAACAGCCTTAGAAATTAACATCTTAAAAGTTGTCGGGTCGATAGCGAATTTCTACATAAATTTGGATAAAATTATGTTATTCTTTACACTCCGGCAACAACCGTAATAAATTAAAGTTATAACTATTTATAAACTAAAATAACTAAAAATGTAGATTGTACAATAGCGCTTACATATAAATATTTATCAATTTCATTTAATTACATTTATTAAAATTAAATAAAGAAAAATGGAAATAGAAATAATATATTAATATCAATAATCTGTAATGGGTAACGTCGAGTATTTCTAATCAATCACGATTTTAAGGGAGCTCTATTTTAATTTTCTTAAACTGGGTCCTAGGGCAAAATGGTTCCTTTGCCTCCCCTCCATGGCAACGGCCCTGATCGTGTGTATACGTGTACGCACGCTCGTACAATAGTTCGCGTTTTAGAGCATTACCAAAGGCTGTAAAATGACATTTTTAACGGCGTTTTTTCATTCACAATGATTGTTAAATAAATACACATGTATATCTTACGATTTTTTAATATAATTTTAACTTGAGATAGTGGATCTAGTTCACTTCTATGCCTTCCGAAAAATCTGATAAACATATGCATATTATTTACGAATATTATATTCACCTACAACATTTACGTATTCTATGATGCATCTACATAATATTTTATTCTGTCCGTGTGTATTGAGTATTTGAGTATTTGTTAATACTTCACACGTTCGCGTCAAAACTGGGTTGTTCTGTCCTGCACTATGCACTCTAAAATGAACATTTCCTTTGTCACGGGTAAAAACTTCGGAACCATAGTATTATTGTTTTCCTTCTTGATTTGGTTCTGTTACATTGTATTATTGATGTCATGTACGTAGTTATTTAAACATATTGCTGGACAAAATTAATATTTCTGTATAATTGTTGGTTTTTTTTTACATGAGTTGTTAACCGCATGTTTCGGATAAGACTCTTGAATAAACTTTCTGAAATTCGCACATTTTTCTTTATTTAGTATAGTGCTGGTGCGTTGTGTTACATATATTGTAAAATATTGTCAATAAATTATAGCTCGGTAAAGTACTGTCTAGATGTAGATTTTTTTAGATTTCCTCTAATTTTGTAATGTAATGTTCTATCATAGTTCTGAGCCTAAGTACTACTATTGTTATTATACTAACTTCAGATATAATGGAATAAAGAATTCGGAAGTTTCTTTTAATAAAAGAAAAACAGTTAGATTGTGTATTTGTAAGTTTGCCCTCCATCTTTTTTATTGATATTGTTGTGAATGTAACTTAATGTTGATGAATGAATCTTCTTTAACGAAGGTTGCTTTAAATTGTCTATCTATCTGGTAGTTACATTTTTGTTTAATGTAATAGTAATTTACTGTATTCTACTAAACAAAAGAAAACATAATTATTTAGGTCTTTTAACAAAATTCTAATTATAAAAGAAATACGTATATAATATATTAATATGTTTTGTTTGCGTGAAAAATGCATGTATTCCTTATATTTATTGTTTTAACTAGTTTTACATTTGACATTCAAAAATTTTCTTCATGATTCAGTTTAATTCGTTCATGATAACATAATAAATAATAACAATAAATTTCAAAAGTGTTTATTAACTCCTAGTTGAATGTGTTATTTATTTATTCTTCAGTTTCCATAGGTATAATTCAATATCAAAAAATTTGTAATGTATTTTCATGCGTTGTGATTTATAGTAATTTTTTTAGACCATACACAATTAGTCTTGACACATATGATTTATTGTTTAATAACAAAAAACGTATGCTATTACTATAGGTACTAATCATTTGCAATTATTGAATACGCTTATATTCAGTCGTAAGATTATAATTTTTTAATTTTACTGTATACCTGTATTTTGTAAGATTTTTATAATGCAAATAAAATACTTTGTTTCAAATAAAGTAAAATGCTCTCTAAATATTTTGCCGTTGATGTACCTATACACAAATATATATATATTGTAGAAAAAATTTGATTTTAGATTCTAAGTGAATCGAGGAATATTGATTTTACAATGATGTATGATTTTTTTGAAAGAAGTTGTTTACAACTGCATGTTTTAAAATATTACTATAATGGATATGCACGCAAGTTGAACTTTAAATAATTTAATTATGAATTCTTAATAGTTTTCGGAAAGTTTGGATTGAAAAATACATATAAATGCCGGATTTTTAAAATGTTATGATTGTTTTTTGGTAAATTTAACTGTGTTTAAAATTGATTTTAAAATTACATTTTTGGTTCAAGTTAAAATATAATGTATACACACACTAATTACCGGTTGCACAAAGGGTCAATAGCTACTTATTGAACCAACAAATCAGTAATCAAATAGATAACTAATAATAATAATTGCACAAAAAACCTTCAAGTTTTATTGATCCATCCAATTTGATGTTATCGATTCCATTAATTGTAGGTCTGATTTCAGGTCGATATAAATGATAAAATAAGTTATATAATCTCTTCTTTTTTTCCCTTCAACATTAATTTTCATAACCACGCTTATTGCTTTTGTTCCCTCTCGCCTCATCACATGCTCAACCATTTAAATCTATTTTCTCTCATCTTGTTCACTATGGACGCTACATTATAGGTTATATTAATATTATATTATGTATGTGTGACTGATGAAGAAATTACTGATTACTTTCTAATAAATAAGTAAAGAAATAGTTTATATATAGAAATAAATAAACAAAAGCTTAGCCTGAAGTATCATTATATTTGTATTTTCATTTATTTATTTATTTATATATTAATTTACGAGTATTAAGCATTTAATAATTTTTAATTTTTCCTTAATTTTTTATTATTTTACTGTTGATTATTAACATTCATTTTACTATAAAATTCATAAGTAGAATGCTCTTACAGTAAAAAAGTTAGTAGGTACAGTGCCGGATTAAACATTTGTGGGCCCCTAGGCAATTAAAATGTTGGGCCCTACAAAATAATTTTTTACATACATCTTAAACATTACTAACCAATAATTAAAATAAACAGCTTTAATAATAACCAACTATTATTTATAAACAAAATCGTGTTTATTGAATTTTTTATTTGCAAGAAAAATCAATAAATTATTATATTATTTCTATTTTTTTCAAAATAATTGTATTATTATTACTGCCTATAACACCTACAACTTAATATATAAATTATATTTCACAATGACTTTTGTGCCGTAAATTCGTAAATAAAATACATGTATTATTAAATAAAAAAAAATATAGTTTTCCATTTTCATAGGGCCTCTTAAACGAGTAAGGCCATAAGGCGGGCGCCTACTCCGCCTAATAGGTAATCCGGCATTGATTACGTATAATACAATTTAAATCTTATTACATGATTTATTAATGATACTTATTTCTGCAATATTAAAGGTTGTAAATTGTAAATATAAAACTTTCATTATTATATTTCTAATTTATGTAATTATTAGTTCTGATCACAAATTCAGATTTCAGACGAAAATGTACATTTTTATTGTATAGAACAAATTGAAATGTTTTATTATGAATGCTTGATGCGATTTGAAAATATATTTTTTATTTTTTATTTGGTTAAATTATAGTAGTACCTCTTAAGTTCTTATATTTATTCCTTTATATAATAATTTTTTAAATATGTGTAGATTATATCTTAATTTATAGAAAAAAATAATTTACATTACTGATTTCATATTCAAAATTAACATTGCATATTTAGTTCAGTGAACTGGTTACCTATTAAATTATTTAATTAATCAAATTATTTGGTTTTTGTTGTGATAGATAGTAAATGTGATTCATATTTATAATTTATTATGATACACATCCGACAATATTCATTATCGATTCTGTCTGAGTCTTTTAGCATTGAAGTTTTATCAGTTCAGTTAAAATGTTCAAATAAAGTACATAGTATTGTCGTTATATAACACTATAATAACGAATAATAGTACAGTAGTAGATAGAG